CTCTTCTTCTTATTGGTGTCCTTTAGTAGTGGTTTCTTTGCAGCAATTCGACCATGAAGGCCTGATTCACACAGTCCCCTCTGAACAGTTGATGTTGAGATGTGTCTGTGACTTGAACTCTGTGAAGCATTTATTTGGGCTGCAATTTCTGAGGCTGGTAACTCTCTAATGAACTTATCGTCTGCAGCAGAGGTAACTCTGGGTCTTCCATTCCTGTGGCGGTCCTCATGAGAGCCAGTTTCATCATAGCGCTTGATGGTTTTTGCGACTGCACTTGAAAAAACTAAAAGTTCTTGAAATGTTCCGTATTGACTGACCTTCATGTCTTAAAGTAATGATGGACTGTCGTTTCTCTTTGCTTATTTGAGCTGTTCTTGCCATAATATGGACTTAATCTTTTACCAAATAGGGCTATCTTCTGTATACCCCCCCCCTACCTTGTCACAACACAACTGCTTGGCACAATCGCATTAAGAAGGAAAGAAATTCCACAAATTAACTTTTAAGAAGGCACACCTGTTAATTGAAATGCATTCCAGGTGACTACCTCATGAAGCTGGTTGAGAAAATGCCAAGAATGTGCAAAGCTGTCATCAAGGCAAAGGGTGGCTATTTTGAAGAATCTCAAATATAAAATATATTTAGATTTGTTTAACACTTCTTTGGTTACTACATGATTCCATATGTGTTATTTCATAGTTTTGATGTTTTCACTATTATTCTACAATGTAAAAATAAATAAACAATTGTACGAGTAGGCGTGTCCAAATGTTTGACTGGTAGTGTACTTCAAATGAGTAGGCAACACTCACCAATAAGCTATCTATCCTCAACAGCTCCCTCCTGTAGGCATATAGGTAAACAATGCTGTTCTGCAGAATGAACGAGTCGTGCGTTCCACCTGGCCACTTTGCCACCACATTCAGCAGCGTCTTTTGCGCATCACATAACCTATCACCTGCACATAAAGAGTGGAAGCCTTTTCTGTTCACATAGTTGAAATTGTTTTGGGATGGTGATTTGTTTTCCATTGCTCCGTTCGTTTTTTGGGAACCCATTTGATGGCATCATGGCAAAGAAACCCCTCTCAACCTGTTGTGCAATGGTGTATGGAAATTGTATGTGTTACTGTTCGTTTTGCTGATGATTGCATCCAAAACATTGGCTCATCGAGGGCTGTGAGATGCCGATCGGCAAGCTCCCGCTGAAAAGTGCCCGTTGCCAAAAACCCATGGGTGGATAGCACTTGGATGTGCACCAGCATAAAGTAGGTCTTAAATATTCGCAAAAATCCTATAAGATTGGTTTTGGCCAATTGTTACTGCAATTGTTCTGCAGAAAAAAATCACACCTGCCTCTAAAAACGCGCTCTGCGAAATGCAGTGTGTGCCAAATCTTCCAACAGAGCAAAATCAGCCATCTCTCATTCCATTTCCCATTGTCTCAGTCATTTATTTCAATAATGGTTTCACTTTCACACGTACCTCTCATTTAACAAATTACTGTACTTAATATGGATTATTATCGTGAACAAATGCACTGATGTGGTCAAATTATATAGCATGTCAAGTTATGTTGCATTAATTCACAATGGAAATGCAATGAAATTGAAAATGATTTAATGATTGCACACATTTTCAACATATATTTTCCACATTCTAAGCATGACAAGCAGTTCCCTTATTCCACTACTTGGCACTGTGCGTACACATGGTCATGGCTGTGCGTAATTTACACACACTCTCAAGCCAACATTCATATTGATAAATCTCACACTGCGTGGAAATGAACTCAATCATGCGTAGGCACAAAACTGCGGAAACCATGCGTGGGATCACAAACTGAGTACCAGCACCTCAGTTCTTCCACTGCTAGAGTTCCTGCACCTCTTACGACTCGATCACCCTGACAGAGTCATTGCGCAAAATGGTACACAGCATCATCTGGATATGTGTGCAACAAAAGTTGAACATTTATATTCTGCTCCCATGTCTGTCAAGCCGTCTACGCATACAGTTGGACGCATATGTTCGATAAATCTAACATGCACCACACAGAACGAACTGCAACTGCCTCTGCAACGCAATGCTGCACGGCAAACGCAGCGTACCATTGGAAATGAATGTACTTCTGGTGTACCAAAATGAAATAACGTGATCGAGGCGTTTTATAGAATATTGGCTCAAAAGTATTGTGGAGTTCCTGCACCTAAATGTAAACAGTACCAGCACTTAAAATGAGTACCGGCACCTATTTCAGTCCAAGTCAAGCACTGATAGCGTTCCACAAAAACATATTGCTTTAGGCTATTTTAAGACCTCCTTCTCTTTAGTTGATTAAATACATTTGCAGGTTTTTCTCTGTGTGACGTATTTCAAGTCAATCATTTACTAAAAGGCTTTACGGCTCATTGAACATAGTCAACATCAATCAGTATGATCTAATGTACTGCAGTTTTGATAGATTTTTCTGTCCCTTTCCCAGCAGTAAACTTCTCATTCTATTGACCACTGCAGTTTAAGTATTTTTTTAAAATTACTCCATAGTTATTAGTTTGATGCCAAAACATGTTGACTTATTTCAGTTTTGATTAAACTATTTTTCATAAAGTGGAGGTGGAATATTGGTGACGTGAGTGATCATATGTTGGTAGGTCAGTCTACTTAACTGCACATTTCATCCATGGATTTCTCTGAAAAACGATCCTCAGATTGTTGTCATTTTGAATGAAGACATTTTTCTATTTTAAATGGGCAACTAAGGCATTCATACTTTTCAATGTGTCAATCTCTTCAACAGTGTGCAAATTACGGGGGCCAGGGGTGGCTCAGTTGGATCATGTTCTTTCAATCGCATTCATCTCTCTACTCCCGCTGTCTGTCTTGAGCTTTCGCTAGCAAACATACAACGTTGTATTGACTGGGTCTAGCCGGCTAGTGAACCTGCAACATTGTTTCAACTGGGCCCCTCACAGTTCCCTGGACAGCTGGATTTGCGTCCCGTATTTCAGCCCCTTTTCAGGTCTCCCAACTTTTCCTTTTTACAAAAAAGGTCAATTTGTCAGCAAGAAGCATCAATTAACTCAGCGGATGTCATTATTACACTTTTTGGTGTTTTGTAACCGATGTCTCTTTCCATTCATCAAATGGCAGGTGTAGTGGCGATTCCCTATGAAAAGCCACTGGCACAGGAGAGAGCCGTCAATAACGCATCCACAAGAAGCAGCTTTCCAAACGTTACTCTTTTGAAGTTTTACGTTTTAATGTCACATGCACAAGTACAGTGAAATGCCTGTCTTGCAAGATCTAAACCCAACAATGCAGTAATCAATGTAGTACTAAAAATAACAAGGTAGAACAAAACCACACGAGTAATAAAATATAAAATAAGAACAGGAGAAAGTAAGAAGCTACATACAGGGTCTGTTCCAGGGTCAGAAGCTTTATACAGGGTCAGTTCCAATACCATATTTACAATGTGCAGGGATACTGGAGTGAAATAGGTAGATATGTATAGGAGTAAGGTGACTAGGCATCAGGATATGATAAACTGAGTAGCAGCAGTGTGTGGAGTCAGTATAAATGTGTGTGCGTTTGGCTTGGGCGGGATACCGTTTACTGAGGTATTTGGAAATAGCCACGGGATGGGTTTTCAGTACCGTCAATACCATTGAAACTATTTCTTTTAAGTTTTTCAATACATTTTAATATTTGTAGCTACTATTTAAAGTAATAAATACCTGCAGTCAACTTGTGCAATACGTTAGGAGATAAAGCAGATCGCATTCTTCATTTCACCTGTCACAAAACAGTTGAGACAGTCGTGTTTGTTTGTAAATAGCACAACTGGAGAAGGTGGGAGCAGGTCCAGCTGTGTATCGACTGGGGTCGCGTTTTATAATTCAAGTAAAGTGTTGTGTTTTTTTGCTTCAATAGAGTGATCAGGGATGTGCAACTATAGTTTTCCTTCACAGAAAATACATTAGTGCAACACATTCATCAGAAAATAGCTTCATTTTCATCAGATGACAACAGAAGTGCAACACTATTTGGCTAGCAGCCACACGAGTAGGCTAAATGAGCTTCAAATGAAAAAGCCTGGTCTTTTTTTTTATTTTTATTTTTACTATGCACGGCCATCATATTTCTAATGTTTATTATAGAAAGAATGTAGCCAGCTACATTTCCTAATGTTTTGTTTAAATGTAATCTTCCATTTTACTGGAGAAAAGTAGCTACACATCAGTCCGAGCACTGTCTGCTGATAAAATGCCCATTCGTTACAATCTGGATACTGCCCAACCCTAGTGTGTGTGTGTTGGAGCGTCAGTGTGAGTGTGTAGAGTCCAGTGTGCATAGACAGTGCAAAAATAAATTACAAGGGACAACTCAGATAATCCGCGTAGCCATTTTGTTAGCTATTTCGCAGTCTTATGGCTTGGGGATAGAAGCTGTTCAAGAGCCTGTTGGTGTCAGACTTGATGCATGTTCGGAAGCAGAGAGAACAGTCTATGGCTTGGGTGGCTGGAGTCTTTAACGATTTTACGGGCCTTAAGGTGAAGTTACCATTTATTTCACATATAAATTATAAATAGCTCCAATACACACATTCCTATACAAAAGGTGCAGAGATGCATTCTATAAGTTTCATGGCGCCTACAGCGGATTCACAATGCACTGTTTGAAAGCTGTAATTATTTTGTAGTGGACGAATGTGTGCAGGTAGTCTACTTTCTTAAGTGATTTGTTTGACAATCGGATGAAAACCTCTTGGCTAGTTGTGTTCATGTCACATTAAAAGGTAATACATGTTTACTGTTAAAATGCTTGTCTTTACTATTAGGGCCATAAAAAAATGTCACAAACCGAAAGTCCTGTGAAAAACATTGACACCCCCGAATGTCCCGGTATGATTTGCACTCTGCTTTTCTCCCTCTAAAGATGGCCTCAGCAACAGCCACCTATGGACAGAAGGAGTCCTCCGACCAGAACTTCGACTACATGTTCAAGATCCTGATCATTGGCAACAGTAGTGTGGGTAAAACATCCTTCCTGTTTCGCTATGCTGATGACTCCTTCACGCCGGCTTTCGTCAGCACGGTGGGCATCGACTTCAAAGTGAAGACCATCTATAGGAACGACAAGAGGATAAAGCTGCAGATCTGGGTGAGACACTGACCTTAACTGATTCTGTCACCCCTCTGTTGACCACAAATGAGGTCATGTTTGTTATTAGGGGTGTTCTGAATTTAAAGGTGCAATGCAACTGTTTTTATCTCAATATCAAATCATTTATGGGTAACAGTTAAGTACCTTACTGTGATTGTTTTAATTTAAAATGGTAAATAACAAAAAAATTACATTTGCTTCTTAGCAAAGAGCAATTTCTCAAACAATAATTTTGCTTGGACTGTCTAGGAGTGATCTGAGTGGGGAGAGGAAAACTGAAAATTAGCTGTAATTGGCAGAGCGGTTTGGAACTCTTTCTTATTGGTTTAGCAAATAATTTTACCGCCTGCTGATGTCACCAGGCAGGCCAAAACTCCATATCACCAAAACAGGCTGAAATTTCAGGCAATCTTTTGAAACACATTTTCACAATTTCACATTATTATTCGAACTTCATAGTGTGAAAATACAGTACCAGTCAAACGTTTGGACACACCTACTCATTCCAGGGGTTTTCTTTATTTTTACTATTTTCTACATAGTAGAATAATAGTGAAGACATCAAAACTATGAAATAACTCATGTGGAATCATGTAGTAACTAAAAGAGTGTTAAACAAATCCAAATACACTACCGTTCAAAAGTTTGGGGTCACTTAGAAATGTCCTTCAAATTGATCAGAATACAGTGTAGACATTGTTAATGTTGTAAATGGGTATTGTAGCTGGAAACGGCTGATGAAAAAATGAAATATCTACATAGGCGTACAGAGGCCCATTATCAGCAACCATCAGTCCTGTGTTCCAATGGCACGATGTGTTGGCTAATCCAAGTTTATCATTTTAAAAGGCTAATTGATCATTAGAAAACCCTTTTGCAATTATGTTAGCACAGCTGAAAACTGTTATGCTGATTAAAGAAGCAATAAAACTGGCCTTCTTGAGACTAGTTGAGTATCTGGAGTATCAGCAATTGTGGGTTCGATTGCAGGCTCAAAATGGCCAGAAACAAATAACTTTCTTCTGAAACTCGTCAGTCTATTATTGTTCTGAGAAATGAAGGCTATTCCATGCGAGAAATTCTCAAGAAACTGAAGGTCTCGTACAACGCTGTGTACTACTTCACAGAACAGCGCAAACTGTCTCTAACCAGAATAGAAAGAGGAGTGGGAGGCCCTGGTGCACAACTGAGCAAGAGGACAAATACATTAGTGTCTAGTTTGAGAAACAGACGCCTCACAGGTCCTCAACTGGCTGCTTCATTAAATAGTACCCGCAAAACACCAGTCTCAACGTCAACAGTGAAGAGGCGACTCCGGGATGCTGACCTTCTAGGCAGAGTTGCAAAGAAAAGCCATATCTCAGACTGGCCAATGAAAATAAAATATTAAGATGGGAAAAAGAACACAGACACTGGACAGAGGAAGATTGGGAAAAAAAATTATGGACAGACGTATCGAAGTTTGAGGTGTTCGGATCACAAAGAAGAACATTTGTGAGACGCAGACCAAATGAAAAGATGCTGGAGGTGTGCTTGATGCCATCTGTCAAACATGGTAGAGGCAATGTGATGGTCTGGGGTGCTTTGGTGATGGTAATGTGGGAGATTTGTACAGGGTAAAAGGGATCTTGAAGAAGGAAGGCTTTCACTCCATTTTGCAACGCCATGCCATACCCTGTGGATGGCGCTTGATTGGAGCCAATTTCCTCCTACAACAGGACAATGACCCAAAGCACAGCTCCAAACTATGCAATAACTATTTAGGGAAGAAGCAGTCAGCTGGTATTCTGTCTATAATGGAGTGGCCAGCACAGTCACCGGATCTCAACCCTATTGAGCTGTTGTGGGAGCAGCTTGAACGTATGGTATGTAAGAAGTGCCCATCAAGCCAATCCAACTTGTGGGAGGTGCTTCAGGAAGCATCGGGTGAAATCTCTTCAGATAACCTCAACAAATTGACACCTAGAATGCCAAAGGTCTGCAAGGCTGTAATTGCTGCAAATGGAGGATTCTTTGACGAAAGCAATGTTTGAAGGACACAATTATTATTTCAATTAAAAATCATTATTTCTAACCTTGTCAATGTCCTATTCATTTTGCTATATTTCCTATTCAAACTCATTTCATGTACAGTGGGGGAAAAAAGTATTTAGTCTGCCACCAATTGTGCAAGTTCTCCCACTTAAAAAGATGAGAGAGGCCTGTAATTTTCATCATAGGTACACGTCAACTATGACAGACAAATTGAGGAAATAAAATCCAGAAAATCACATTGTAGGATTTTTAATGAATTTATTTGCAAATTATGGTGGAAAATAAGTATTTGGTCAAATATACCCTTTGTTGGCAATGACACAGGTCAAACGTTTTCTGTAAGTCTTCACAAGGTTTTCACACACTGTTGCTGGTATTTTGGCCCATTCCTCCATGCAGATCTCCTCTAGAGCAGTGATGTTTTGGGGCTATCGCTGGGCAACACAGACTTTCAACTCCCTCCAAAGATTTTCTATGGGGTTGAGATCTGGAGACTGGCTAGGCCACTCCAGGACCTTGAAATGCTTCTTACGAAGCCACTCCTTCGTTGCCCGGGCGGTGTGTTTGGGATCATTGTCATGCTGAAAGACCCAGCCACGTTTCATCTTCAATGCCCTTGCTGATTGAAGGAGGTTTTCACTCAAAATCTCACGATACATGGCCCCATTCATTCTTTCCTTTACACGGATCAGTCGTCCTGGTCCCTTTGCAGAAAAACAGCCCCAAAGCATGATGTTTCCACCCCCATGCTTCACAGTAGGTATGGTGTTCTTTGGATGCAACTCAGCATTCTTTGTCCTCCAAACACGACGAGTTGAGTTTTTACCAAAAAGTTCTATTTTGGTTTCATCTGACCATATGACATTCTCCCAATCCTCTTCTGGATCATCCAAATGCACTCTAGCAAACTTCAGACGGGCCTGGACATGTACTGGCTTAAGCAGGGGGACACGTCTGGCACTGCAGGATTTGAGTCCCTGGCGGCGTAGTGTGTTACTGATGGTAGGCTTTGTTACTTTGGTCCCAGCTCTCTGCAGGTCATTCACTAGGTCCCCCCGTGTGGTTCTGGGATTTTTGCTCACCGTTCTTGTGATCATTTTGACTCCACGGGGTGAGATCTTGGGTGGAGCCCCAGATCGAGGGAGATTATCAGTGGTCTTGTATGTCTTCCATTTCCTAATAATTGCTCCCACAGTTGATTTCTTCAAACCAAGCTGCTTACCTATTGCAGATTCAGTCTTCCCAGCCTGGTGCAGGTCTACAATTTTGTTTCTGGTGTCCTTTGACAGCTCTTTGGTCTTGGCCATAGTGGAGTTTGGAGTGTGACTGTTTGAGGTTGTGGACAGGTGTCTTTTATACTGATAACAAGTTCAAACAGGTGCCATTAATACAGGTAACGAGTGGAGGACAGAGGAGCCTCTTAAAGAAGAAGTTACAGGTCTGTGAGAGCCAGAAATCTTGCTTGTTTGTAGGTGACCAAATACTTATTTTCCACCATAATTTGCAAATAAATTCATTAAAAATCCTACAATGTGATTTTCTGGATATTTTTTTCTCAATTTGTCTGTCATAGTTGACGTGTACCTATGATGAAAATTACAGGCCTCTCTCATCTTTTTAAGTGGGAGAACTTGCACAATTGGTGGCTGACTAAATACTTTTTTTCCCCCACTGTATGTTTTCATGGAAAACAAGGACATTTCTAAGTGACCCCAAACATTTGAACGGTAGTGTATATTTTAGATTTGAGATTCTTCAAATAGCCACCCTTTGCCTTGATGACAGCTTTGCACACTCTTGGCATTCTCTCAAACAGCTTCATGAGGTAGTCACCTGGAATGCATTTCAATTAACAGGTGTGCCTTCTTTGTGGAATTTCTTTCCTTCTTAATGCGTTTGAGCCAATCAGTTGTGTTGTGACAAGGTAGGGGGGGTATACAGAAGATAGCCCTATTTGGTAAAAGACCAAGTCCATATTATGGCAAGAACAGCTCAAATAAGCAAAGAGAAACGACAGTCCACCATTACTTTAAGACATGAAGGTTAGTCAATAAGGAACATTTCAAGTTTCTTCAAGTGCATTCGCAAAAAACGTCAAGTGCTATGATGAAACTCTCTCATGAGGACCACCACAGGAATGGAAGACCCAGAGTTACCTCTGCTGCAGAGGATAAGTTCATTAGAGTTACCAGCCTCAGAAATTGCAGCCCAAATAAATGCTTCAGATTTCAAGTAACAGACACATCTCAACATCAACTGTTCAGAGGGGACTGTGTGAATCAGGCCTTTGTGGTCGAATTGCTGCAAAGAAACCACTGCTAAAGGACACCAATAATAAGAAAATACCTGCTTGGTGAGACGCGGTGTGGGTGAACAGATGATCTCCACATGGGTATTTCCCACCGTAAAGCATGGAGGAGGTGGTGTTATGGTGTGGGGGTGCTTTGCTGGTGACACTGTCTGTGATTTATTTAGAATTCAAGGCACACTTAACCAGCATGGCTACCACAGTATTCTGCAGCGATACGCCATCCCATCTGGTTTGGGCTTAGTGGGACTGTCATTTGTTTTTCAACAGGACAATGACCCAACACACTGCCAGGCTGTGTAAGGGCGTTTTTACCAAGAAGGAGAGTGATGGAGTGCTGCATCAGATGACCTGGCCTCCACAATCACCTGACCTCAACCCAATTGAGATGGTTTGGGATGAGTCGGACGGCAGAGGTGATGGAAAAGCAGCCAACAAGTGCTCAGCATATGTGGGAACTCCTTCAAGACTGTTGGAAAAGCATTCCAGGTGAAGCTGGTTGAGAGAATGCCAAGCGTGTCCAAAGCTGTCAACAAGGCAAAGGGTGGCTATTTGAAGAATCTCAAATATAGCATATATTTTGATTTGTTGAACACTTTTCTGGTTACTACATGATTCCATATGTGTTATTTCATAGTTTTGATGTGTTCACTATTATTCTACAATGTAAAAATAAAGAAAAACCCTTGAATGAGTAGGTGTGTCCAAACTTTTGACTGGTTGTGTGTGTATATATGTGTATATATATCACAGAAAAATCTGTTTTTTGACTGAGGGGAGATGACTGTATGGGAAATATCCCATGACAATAGGCTAGACTTATACTATAATAATAATAACATATGCCATTTAGCAGATGCTTTTACGAATGAAAGTTTCGCTTTTTGGGGGGCGAGTTTGTAAAGGATTTTGGCCAGTCAGACCCCTATGCTTTCATGCACACATCTCCATTAGAGGCCTATGACAGTGGTGCCTGAAGAGGCAAGTGAGCAGACAGGAGCAGTATCGGTACACTAGCAGGAGGTTTGTGTCTCCAGTGCCAGTCTCTCTCTCTCTCTCTCTCTCTCTCTCTCTCTCTCTCCATCTCTCTCGCTCCGTCTGTCTCTCGCTTTTTCTGTGGCTCCTGTGAGGAATATGTGTGTCGCTCCTGTGAGGAATATGTTTAGTTCTGAAGACGATTGGTTGTGACACCACGTGCGTCATGGTGGGTCGTCTGCATCCACCCCCTTCAGCAGCGTAGACCTCGCTGTGGAACAACACACACACACAGCTCAGATCTAAGGTGGTGGTAGCTATTCTCATCACAAGATTTTAATAAGGAGAGTGCATCCACACCCAAGATATAATCTTGATTTATATGCTGCTTGACATGTATGGAATAAACCAAGATTATATGCTGTCAGTGTGGGTTTACTCTATTCATATGATCCTGTGAGCATGACCACGGCTCTGCCTTTATAAGATAGCTGAAGACAGAAAACAAACCGAGATGCTGATAAATGTGTGTGGTTTCCTAAATCGCCTCGATTAATATTCCAAAGCGGCTGCCATTGCTGTCTTCATAAGTGCAGAATCATTTATGGCCTAATGAAGGCAATCTATCTCACTGAAATATATTTTCATTAAACCAAAAATATTGTGTTTGAAGCTGGTGTACAAAACCAAACGTAAAAGACACAAACTAAACATAAGAATGGGAGGCATAGAAATAGAGCACATCGAACCGATCTACCACTTCTTAGACTTGCTTTCAATGAGAATGACAGATCTATAACTCACATTTCTTTGTGAATTTGGTCGGGTCGCCCAAAAAGTTACATATTGCAGGTTTAAAACAGTGTTACACTGATATACTGCACTGCTGCATGGTCTGACATCACACAGAATATTCTGAAATTAGGATCTGTCATTTTGTTATCCACAACTACATTTGTTATATGCAGCTATAATGTTTAAACATGGATGTGGGGTTAAACTTAATGCATTCTTTTTATATGCTGTAGTACATTGGGATTTGGAGTGCTTTTTCTGCTGCGGGACTATTTTTGTGCCCGATTATGTGAGTGTATGGTAATAATGATTTCTTGTGTGATATAATGTGTGTTTCTCCCAGGACACTGCCGGACAGGAGCGCTACAGGACCATCACCACGGCCTACTACAGAGGCGCCATGGGCTTCATCCTCATGTATGACATCACCAACGAGGACTCCTTCAACGCCGTGCAGGACTGGTACGGGACGTGTGTGTGTGCAACAACTGTACGTTTGTCTGTGTATCGGTGTTTACACTATATACAAAAGTATATGGACACCCCTTCAAATGAGTGGATTTGGCTATTTCAGCCACACTTGTTTCTGACAGGTGTATGAAATCGAGCACACAGCCATGTAATCCCCATAGACAAACATTGGCAGTAGAATGGCCTTACTGAAGAGCTCAGTGACTTTCAACGTGGCACCGTCATAGGATGCCACCTTTCCAACAAGTCAGTTCGTCAAATTTCTGCCCTGCTAGAGCTGCCCCGGTCAACTGTAAGTGCTGTTATTGTGAAGTGGAAACGTCTAGGAGCAACAACGGCTCAGCCACGAAATGGTAGGCCACACAAGCTCACAGAACGGGACTGCCGAGTGTAGCGCGTAGAAATCATCTGTCCTCGGTTGCAACACTCACTACTGAGTTCCAAACTGCCTCTGGAAGCAACATCAACACAAGAACTGTTCATCAGGAGCTTCATGGAATGGGTTTCCATGGCCGAGCAGCCGCACACAAGCCTAAGATCACCATGCGCAATACCAAGCGTCGACTGGAGTGGTGTAAAGCACGCCGCCATTGGACTCTGGCGCAGTGGAAACGCGTTCTCTGGTGTGATGAATCATGCTTCACCACCTGGCAGTCCGACGGACGCATCTGGGTTTGATGGATGCCAGGAGAACGCTACCTGCCCCAATGCATAGTGCCAACTGTAAAGTTTGGTGGAGGAGGAATAATGGTCTGGGGCTGTTTTTCATGGTTCGGGCTAGGCCACTTTAGTTCCAGTGAAGGGAAATCTTAACGCTACAGCATACAATGACATTCTAGACTATTCTGTGCTTCCAACTTTGTGGCAGCAGTTTGGGGAAGGCCCTTTCCTGTTTCAGCATGACAATGCCCCCGTGCACAAAGCGAGGTCCATACAGAAATGGTTTGTCGAGATCGGTGTGGAAGAACTTGACTGGCCTGCACAGAGCCTTGACCTCAACCCAATCGAACACTGTTGGGATGAATTGGAACGCCAAATGCGAGCCAGACCTAATCGCCCAACTTCAGTGACCGACCTCACTAATGCTCTTATGGCTGAATGGAAGCGAGTCCCCGGAGCAATGTTCCAACATCTAGTGGAAAGCCTTCCCAGAAGAATGGAGGCTGTTATTTTTACATTTTCATTTACGTCATTTAGCAGACGCTCTTATCCAGAGCGACATACAAATTGGTGCATTCAACTTATGATAGCCAGTGGGACAACCACTTTTATGGGGGTGGGGAGAGGTAGAAGGATTACTTTTATACTATTCCAGGTATTCTTTAGAGGTAGGGTTTCAAGTGTCTCCGGAAGGTGGTCAGTGACTCCGCTGTCCTGGCGTCGTGGGGGAGCTTGTTCCACCATTGGGGTGCCAGAGCAGCGAATAGTTTTGACTGGGCTGAGCGGGAACTGTGCTTCCGTAGAGGTAGAGGGGCTAGCAGGCCAGAGGTGGATGAACGTAGTGCCCTCGTTTGGGTGTAGGATCAGAGCCTGAAGGTAAGGAGGTGCCGTTCCCCTCACAGCTCCGTAGGCAAGCACCATGGTTTTGTAGTACATTTACATTTTAGTCATTTGGCAGACGCTCTTATCCAGAGCGACTTACAGTTAGTGAGTGCATACATTTATTTATTTTTATTTTATACTGGCCCCCCGTGGTAAACGAACACACAACCCTGGCGTTGCAAACGCCATGCTCTACCAACTGAGCTACATCCCTGCCGGCCATTCCCTCCCATACCCTGGACGACGCTGGGCCAATTGTGCGCCGCCCCATGGGTCTCCCGGTCGCGGCCAGCTACGACAGAGCCTGGATTCGAACCAGGATCTCTAGTGGCACAGCTAGCACTGCGATGCAGTGCCTTAGACCACTGCGCCACTCGGGAACAGTAGATGCGAGCTTCAACTAGAAGCCAGTGGAGTGTGCGGAGGAGCGGGGTGACATGAGAGAACTTGGGAAGGTTGAACACCAGACGGGCTGCAGCGTTCTGGATCAATTGTAGGGGTTTAATGGCACAGGCAGTGAGCCCAGCCAACAGCGAGTTGCAGTAATCCAGACGGGAGATCACAAGTGCCTGAATTAGGACCTGTGCTGCTTTCGGTGTAAGGTAGGGTCGTACTCTGCGAATGTTGTAGAGCATGAACCTGCAGGATCGGGTCACTGCTTTGATGTTAGCGGAGAACGACAGGGTGTTGTCCAGGGTCACGCCAAGGTTCTTTGCACTCTGGAAGGAGGACACAATGGAGTTGTCAACCGTGAATGCGAGATCATGGAGCGGGCAGTCCTTCCCCGGGAGGAAGAGCAGCTCCGTCTTGCCGAGGTTCAGCTTGAGTTGGTGATCCGACATCCACACTGATATGTCTGCCAGACATGCAGAGATGCGATTCGCCACCTGGTTATCAGAAGGGGGGAAAGGAGAAAATCGAGTGTAGGTTTTTTGAGGAGGGGTGCAACTCTCGCTCTCTTATAGCAGCAAAGGGGGGACCAACTCCATATTAATGCCCATAATTGTGGAATGAGATGTTCGACGAGCAGGTGTCCACATATTTTGGGTCATGTAGTGTATGTTCTGCAAAATGTGAATAATTTGACGACTAGGTGAAAAATGGCAATACCAGTCAAGCGTCAGTTGCTTTGCCTGCTTGGATGAGGGTCCATGCAGGGAACTCAATTTATTTAGTTATGATAGGATCCGTAATATAACTAAAGCAATTTAATGTGTGTGTGCAGGTCCACCCAGATCAAGACTTACTCCTGGGACAACGCCCAGGTCCTGCTGGTGGGCAACAAGTGTGACATGGAGGACGAGAGGGTGGTGGCAGCAGACAGGGGCCGGCAGCTCTCTGAGCAACTTGGTGAGTTGAAACACTGTACTTAATTACCCAGTAATATAATAATACATTATCAGTGTCCTTTCCCTAGAAAATGAATTGTTGTTTTATGTGCCTACTCTGCTATAACTGTGTACAGCTGAGTAATTACGTTCTGGTTACCAGAGTAGTTATTGAGCAACTTCACGCCATAAGTACAAATTCATGTAAAGTGTTGCTCATTACAACAAATAAACATCACGTGTTACATTCAAACGACTCTTAATTAATCAGACATCTCTGGCTTTCCTCTCCTCTGCAGGCTTTGAGTACTTTGAGTGCAGTGCCAAGGACAACATCAACGTGAAGCAGACGTTTGAGCGGCTGGTGGACATCATCTGTGAGAAGATGTCAGAGAGCTTGGACAACGCCGACCCCGCCGTCACAGGGGCCAAACAGGGGCCCCAGCTCACCGAGCAGCCCGAACGCCCCCACCAGGACTGTGCTTGCTAAACACACACTACACACACACACGCACCGTACACATACACACATGACCCCTCATACACCCCTTCCTACAGCCTCCTCAGCTGGTGGAAGAGGTCTGTGATGGGTTTGTGTTTAGATGGAAGAGCCTGGCTGAAATGCCATTTATTCCATATTTCAGTCCCCCCGTCCTCCATAGGTGTTCTACTGTAAGAGTCCAAAGTTCACATTCTGACTCCCCTTACTGCGGCCTCGAACCTGAAGGGATTTCATGTATTTTTTTTCAAGGGCCACATTGCTGATTATCTGTTTACTGTTGATAGCATTGTTGTTTTTTAGATATCCTCGATTGGCTGGTTAGCCATCAAATCCATTTCAGTGGCGCGAGTGAGGTATGTTCAAAGTTCACATTTTGGATAACAAAATGTTTTATGAGATTGTGTTTTCGAACATATCCGACCAAAATACAACCAAAATCCCATGCATGTCGGTTATCAGTCATGGTCATTTCCTAATATTTTATCATTGCTGGATTTAAGAAAAAGAGAACTTGATGATGTGGTAAGTACTGATCCCTGTCCCTGTTTTTTTAAAAGTTATCTTTAGTTTTTTTAGCAAACCTAGATAGAGAAAATATTTATTGATGGAGAAAGGTGTCTTTACGTAGAAGAGTATAATAGTATACATAAATGTTCAACTTCATAAGCTAATAAATATGCATTTTAAAATTCAAAAATATATAAACAAATGGTATAAGATTACAATAATTTAAGATGTAAAAATATCTGTGCTTTGTGAGATATGCATGTTGTCTTTTTTTTGTTTTAACATGGAACGTCTAAGAGCTGTTGGCTTCGTCCCACTGAATCAAACTGGTTTGTTTGTTTTGCTGTTAGGGTCATGGCATGTGTGAAGAACAGTTGAAAATGTAGCTTCTCATTCCTTGTCAGTGTACATCACTGCTGTTCTACAGCACAATCACCTCTTATTCATGTGTACAACAACACTGACCAAGGTTAACATCATGTTCCAATCGCTTTCCGATAGTCCTTATGGTTTGACTTTTGTATTTTTGGTGTATACTTTTTTTTAAGCATGTTCAACTTCATGTTTGTGTGATTTTGGTCTGTTTCAGTGTAGAGATAATTGCTTGTTGGCATATATATGAGGAAAACATAGTCAATGAAATGCACTCATGGACTTAAAGATATTTGGTCAATTATGTCACGACCATCTATATTTACACACAGTATGATGTCTTATTTTTAGATTAGGTTCTTCATAGATTGTTTGTGGGCTGCACTCTATCACAGTTGAAAAAAGGCGGTTATCAGTATTGTATGGGGAGGTTGGTTAAAAACCAGGCTGTCCTTTGAGATTGAATTGGGTTGACAGACTCCTGCCGAGAACACTTACATTCCACTATGTTCTCCCGATCATGTACAAGCTGTTTCAATGGGAAACGCTTTTACTTCCATTTCCCATGTTTCTAAACCAACTGTGAACCTTTTTAGGGTGGGTGTAATAATACCAGTGTGAATACTGTATTCCTCTCAGAGAAATACTGTCATTGGCCAGCCTGGTTCTTCTGGATGGCAAATATTAACCACCAACAAACCTGCTAAAGGGCATGTTACAAATACTGTTTGTGTAAAGTCTTTAGGCAGCTTTGCTTAATGTTTTTTCCAAATACGTCCAAATTAGACTTCCAAGCCAAAAACAACACCCACTGGGACAAGACTTGTTAGACATGTTTTTGGAGCTGCACTGAATAAAAGGCATGTAGTACTGTAGTGTTAGACAAGCATTTGGGATGTATGCCTACACTGTGTGGCAGTTTTCAAAAAGGGAGAAGTGTGTAAGGTATGATCAGTACTTATCACGTCCTATTACTTTTGATGCACTGGTGAACTTTAGTTTTTTTGTTGATTTGTGTTTTGCTACAGCTGTAAACTTGCCTCGGGCTTAGGTATGTGTCCAATTCAACTATTTTAGCGCTCCTCCCTTCTGTCCTGTCTTCCCCCTGTAAATAAGCATTTTTTTGTTGGGTTTTAGTCTTGAATTGTGCTGTAATACTGTAACTCCAGGTTTGCTAAATCCAAGGAATTAATAAACAAAATATAAAAGCAGTATTTGTGAAAACTTAGTTAACATAATTAAAATCTGAGGCAACTCCACATTTTAGCTTTGGATGTACAGTTTTGTCCAAACTGATAATTGTATCACCCTCATCAAGCCACTAGGTGGCATAATAGTGTAGTGCTCCCAGTACATCATTAAATGCATTTAGAGATTCAGTTCAGTTGAAACATTATTTTCCCCCTGTTCATTCTAGTGACAGGTATTGTACTAATGTAACAAAGCCTGTAATACAACAGGATAATAGTTGGGGGAAAACCCATGCACCTATTCTATACTAATGTCTCTGGGAGAGGTCTTAATAATAGCAGGCACAATGTGTGATAGGACAGGAACTGTAACAAAGGGCAGTCAGCCCACAATAAGACTTGAGAACAGATTTAAATAATTCAGTGAATTTAATTAACATCTTTGAGAGGTAAAATCCCATTAAAAATGGCCACATAGGGCCAACAGCAATGAAGGCAACATTCATGGTGACAGAATAAACATAGAACTGCACAACATAATGAACAGAATTACTGTACAAGAGCTTACAAGACATGCACAATTCATATTTGCAAAAAATGATAAGACAATATGCTAAATAAGACGTTTTGGTAAATAAAATATACATTTGTCATTGGTAAATAAGTGCTTGTAAACAAGTAAGGCATATTACACAGTGGATGACAGGCACTCAATGACATCCTGGTGTTTAGTTACACTCATTGAGATTGTCCAGTTTACATGCAGATAATGCTATGTATTGAATTTGTCCATGGGTGAGCTGATATGCATGTTCCCCCGAAGAGGGCAGCAAAAATTGTCTGTTTGCTACAAAACGGGCTTATAGCCAACATTTTTATGAGACCCATGGTGTTCCAGTTCTAATGGCTTTTCAGCAATGAATTTGTATTCTATTATAAGAGAAAAGGCAAATAGCCTACTGTGTTTCAGTTAGTCCATATCCTCAGATAACTAACCCCATGGCCTACACAAGCCTCTAGTAAACTTGCACTTGCTTTGGCATAAGCTGACATCCATTACTGACATGGTTCATAACCTTTTGTTTCAACTGGGCCACTTGCTCTCTGAGCACACTGGCTGTGGAGGCCAGTTCAGTGTTCTGAGTCTTCAGGTTTTTGACCTTGTCTTCAAGACGGGAGATTCTCTCCAGTTTTCTTTTGCGGCACTTGGACGCCGCTATCCTGTTGCGCAGCTTTTTCCTCTCTGCTTTGATGCGCTCCTGATTGTCCATGTCAATAGGAGACAACGGCGGGCTGTCTCCAAAGCACTGCATGTCGGGGACCGTCTGCGGCTCGTCCTTCAACGCCTGGAGTCGTGACAGCGCTGCCGCAGCCGCCTGTTGATGGGCGCTCATCAGATTAGAAGGCGGTGGGAATGGAATGGTATCCGTGGAATAATTCACTGTGGTGCCCAGTGGGCTATTTCCATAGCCGTTCAAAGTCGTGTACACTGGCAGATCTGACGGCAAGCCGACCGGGGCTGCGTTTGAGCCGATAAGGTCCAGTCTGTCCGGCGGTACGCACGTCCCCTCGCTCAGCTGGTTCTGCTTGTGAAGATCCTCAAGCGCCTTCACGAAGCCTTCCGCGAATTCCTGTTCGTCGCTGGCTGACTTCGGGTAGAGGAACTGAGAGGTTGGGGTCGTAGTAACCATTCCATTCGATTGGATAATCAATCGTTCAAGGTCTGGAGTGGCCAATTTCAAGAGTCCCAAGTCCGAAGAGTTCAGAATTCCGTCTGTGTCCCGGAGATTCGGTTTCAGATTGGAGCTTTGGTCGTCCAGGTTTAGACTCATGTCTTTTTTCATCATGCTGTTGTAGGAATAGAGGCTTGAGATCCCTCGAGTATTCAGCGCACTACCAGGGTAGAGGGTTATTTCCATTCTAACCCTTCACATGAGGGTCAGTTGAGCTTTACGCATAAACTAAGACGATTCAACAGTTAAACTCAGGCGATAAAACACACAGTTCAGGTTATAGTTTCCTGTATTTACCTCTCTTCAAACTCTGATCGAGTTAATCGACTGTCACCCTTTAGCCTACCTTTATGCCTGAGGCTAAAACAATAGTAGTGGCTTGGCTTTTCCTGCTCTTCTCGCCCGCTTCTAGCAATTTTTCCCAATGGAACGACTGCTATGCATACACCCAACCCTCTGCTTGCTTTCTAACCCTAAAAATTCCATTATGTCACTTCAGCGCGCTAAGATTGGCCCAAAATGACGTGTGTTTCCGGTCTGATTTAAATAATGGGCTGAACCAGTCATTATTGCCATGGAGACTTTAGGTAAACTGCAAACAGTGCAGTGCATTGTGGTTTGATGTCATAAAATAGAAAGCTCAGGGTCGCCAAAAGAGACAGGGTGGGGCAGGATTGGAAACTAGGAAGGCGCAAATAAGGATTCTTCAGCTCCCTCAATTTGAATTTAGACAAAGGGTTCGTTAGAGTGGTAAGGCGAAAGCAACCGACTGTAGATGGAAGTCGAGGAGTGAAGTTGGGGGAGGTGCATCTGTGACAGGCGAAAGTCGGACACTAATGTGGTTTTCCAACAGCAAGGCTTAGTACAACATGGCAGTGTTGCCATTGTTTATAATGTCGAAATAAACACGTCTCCAACAATCCCCATATCACACACTCACAAACTGAAAATATGTGTGTACATTGTAAATCAATTGTTGAGATATCCTCAAATATCACATTCATTTGAATTGCAGCAAAGTTAGTTCCTGTTTCAGTCATGTCTTTGGTCACGTTCGCGTGGGTCAAACAAAAACACCCGAATGATTGGTTGACAATAGAGTCTCCCACAATGCAGGCGAAGCATGCAGGATGAAGTTGGTGAAGAGCAACTGCAGAAACTTGGCAGTCGACTACAGTCAAAACTTCATGAACTTTGATCACATTATTTTTGTTAAATTCATGCAGTGACGTAGGCGCAAGTTCGGACAATTTGTATCCCTATAATGCAACACACCTTGAAAGGCGGTGACCATCATTGGTTCGCTCGAACGAGACCATTGATCCCACATCATTTGACAGCTGTATGTGAACAAACACACTTATAAACGTTTATTTACCAACCCCAAACACACACACACCCAACTGGGCAAAAACGGATTGAATCAAGTTGGAAAGTAGCTATTGGCTGTCCTAAAAGTCGCTAGAAGTCGCTAAATGACGTCATCGCCTAATTTGCATAGTTGGCCATGTGAACGTAATTGTGATGGACGCTGAAGGAGAGACAAAAAGTGAGTAAAAACACCCTACATTTAAATCCCTCCCTGAACGTAAGCCAGGGCGGGATCAGCCAGCGGCGGCTTCCCGCATGCGCGATTTATTTGCAGTCTGGACGTGAAGGGGTGAACATCTCCTGTTCTGACTGCAGCTGGGAGGGACTGCTGCGCGAGGAGTGGGCCGCCTGTGAGTGCTTTGGGACGTGGGGCCCACGGCAGCACCTGGTGCTCGTTGAGAAGAGTAAGAACGATACGTGCTTTCACGTCAGAGTCTCCAATAACACCAGAAAAAGTCGCTAGATTTGTCGCTAGTCGCTTTTTTGAAAATGTGTTGCTAGAGGGGTCTGAATACTCGCTAAATATAAAAGTAAGTTGGCAACACTGGCTTCAACATCATGTCAAAAAAGTCATCAACGTAAGGGAATTTCATATTTTTTCACCCAATGTTTTACCTAAATCCAATGACATGGTGACATTTTTTGTTGATTTCATGCAGAATTCAAATTAGTTTACAACTCAACCGAATGTAAATCAAAACTAGATGTTGAAATGACCTTATGTGCCCAGTGGGACACACACAAACACACTTTCAATGAAGAATAGACTGACACTTCAACAAACTGAACTGGGCTGTGTGTGTGTGTGTGTGTGTGTGTGTGTGCCTGCTTGAGTGTGTGTGTGTGTGTGTGTGTGTGTGTGTGTGCCTGCTTGAGTGTGTATGTCATTGTTTATCATTGTGTCACTCAGTCTAATCTTCATTACAAGTGATCTATGTTGGTTCCAATTCCAAACATTCTCACAGCTCTGTCCAGTTTAGGATAGGCTATATGATGACAAAGAAACAGACAAGGAGGATATATCTCTAGATACATTGTAGCAAGTCAAGGCACATTAACATGGGCTCAGGAATAGGTGTGGAAACATTTGACCTCATAAATTGCTCAGTTAGTTTAATAATACTGTGTCTTTCAATCCAAACACATTTCTAAGAGAGATAGCACAACTTGATTGAGGGGCGTTTTATTGAGGATGCAATTACCTGTGGGTTTTAACAGAAAATAGGAAGGAAATACTGCAGAGGGATAAGGAAACCATGTTTTTTTCTTAGAAAATAACAGCCAATGTTTGACTAAGAACTCAACCCAAAAAATGTGAATGGTTAGCATATAGCTCCTCTGTTGGTAATGGCAAAGGATATTTTATCTGCCCAGAAACACAATATTAGACTGGTTAAGCATGAGAGATATACCACCTCAGAACAGAAAGACGAGTGAGAAATAAGGAGTGATGAAAAATGGTTTCAAGCTCTAGGCCTATAAGGGTAATGGATGTCTGCTGTTGCTATGAATAGCCCAGCGCAGCGGGGTGGTAGGCAGCCAAAATAGCCAAATTCCCCAGTAAAAAGTGATGACGTCCATAGACTGGCTGCATCAGCACCACAGAATAGCAAGGGCATCATTTGTTTCCATGGCAACATTGACATAGGCTGTGACGCAAGAGCAGGTGAATGAATGGGTGGAAGGGATCGAGGATGTTGAAGACTGCAGTGCAGGATGATACGTGGGTGGTGAATGGAGGATCGGGCTGTATCTGTGTGTGTGATTGTGTGTGTGTTTATAGGTGGGAGACAATCTCCAGATTTACATCTTCCAGCATTCTTCAGAATATTATGCATAAAAAATACATATGGTTAGGATGTCATCAATTAAAATATGTTCCTTTAGTAAAATCATCTCCCTTTGATGTCTCTTTCTTGGAATAGATTACGCACCCCAACCAAAAGTTTCCTATTTTGACAGAAACAACTGCCTTTTCTTTATTCATCCATATTCAGCATAGCATTTAAAATCAGGCATTCAAGAAGGCAGTGGCTAGAATGTATGAGTCATGTCCCGAAACAGGGGTTTGGACTGAATACAAACCATGTTATTATGGTGAACAGATATAAAAATGGGAGTGCCTTTATTATCAAATTCAATTTACGGATTCATATTTTGCTTTACATAAATGTGATGAAGCTGAGAAGATAGCTAAAGTGAGATGTAACAACATTTACCTTTTTGTAATGAAGTTTATAAATAGCTTAATGCATACCCTATCAGGTGCTATGAATTTAAAGGCCTCTACAGCTGGCATTGCTCAATTCTGCCGAACCTGTCCTAATTTTGGGAGTTCGGAAAACATTTAATTTTACTACGTGAGAATTCTGTTCATTGACTACAGCTCAGCTTTCAACACCATAGTGCCCTCAAAGCTCATCACTAAACTAAGGACCCTGGGACTAAACACCTCCCTCTGCATCTGGATCCTGGACTTCCTGATGGGCCGCCCCCAGGTGGTAAGGGTAGGCAACAACACATCTGCCACGCTGGTCCTCAACACGGGGACCCCTCAGGGGTGCATGCTTAGTCCCCTCCTGTACTCCTTGTTCACCCACAACTGCGTGGCCAAGCACGACTCCAACACCATCTTTAAGTTTGCCGACGACACAATGGAGATAGGTCTGATCACAGACAACGATGAAACAGCCTATAGGGAGGAGGTCAGAGACCTGGCAGTGTGGTGCCAGGACAAAAACCTCTCCCTCAGCGTGATCAAGACAAAGGAGCTGATCGTGGATTACAGGAAAAGGAGGGCCGAGCACGCCCCCCCATTCACATCGATGGGGCTGTAGTGGAGCAGGTCGAGAGCTTCAAGTTCCTTAGTGTCCACATCACCCACAAACTATCATGGTCCAAACACACCAAGACAGACGTGAAGAGGGCACGACAACGCCTATTCCCCCTCAGGAGACTGAAAATATTTGGCATGGGTCCTCAGATCCTCAAAAAGTTATAATGCTGCACCATCTAGAGCATCCTGACTGGTTGCATCACCGCCTGGTATGTCAACTGCTCAGCATCCGACCGCAAGGTGCTACAGAGGGTAGTGCGTACGGCCCAGTACATCACTGGGGCCAAGCTTCCTGCCATCCAGGACCTCTATACCAGGCGCTGTCAGAGGAAGGCCCTAAAAATTGTCAAGGACTCCAGCCACCCTAGTCATAGACTGCACGGCAAGTGGTACCGGAGCGCCAAGTCTAGGTCCAAAAGGCTCAATTACCTCGACTAACCTGTACCCCCGCACATTGACTTGGTACCGGTACCCCCTGTATATAGCCTCGTTAATGTTATTTGATTGTGTCACTTTTTTTTGTTAACTTTTTTATATTTTTTACTTTAGATTATTTAGTAAATAATTTCTTAACTATTATTTTTCTTAAAACTGCATCGTTGGTTAAGGGCTTGTAAGTAAGCATTTCACAGTAAGGTCTACACTGTTGTATTCGGCGCATGTGACAAATACAATTTGATTTGATTTGACATGGATAATTGAGTGACTGACAAAACAAGAGAAAAACTGCCGAATTATGTGCAACCAAATTTCAAAATTACACCTGGTGTATTCTACTATTGTTACTCTCAATAGTAAAATGAGACCCAGACTGAGTTCCTAAAATTATTTATATATTTTTTAATGTTTTTATTTTATTTATCTTTTGGGTTAGGGGATCCCCTATTGGTCGAGGGAGCCGTCCCTGCATGCATGCCATTACAGTAGATGGCGATAGACGGCTGGATGTTGAGGTTTACAGTGTTTTGAAAGCGTAGAAGAAAGAACGAGAACGCTTGAGCAGTGACGCGGACTTAGCAATTTTGTTGCTATATTTAGCAACTTTTCAGACTACCCTTGCAACTTTTTATTCAAACAGCACCTAGCAACACATTTAGCTACTTTTAAAAATGTATTTTGAACTTTTAGCAACTTTTGAAAAGTGACTCAAACGCTAAAATGCACGCATTTTCCCTCTAAATGACACAAAAACGATTTTCTCTGTCACACACTCAGTCACAACATACGTGCCTGGCTGCAAAAGTGCATTGTGAGTGACGTCAGCAGCAGGCGCTCTGCTCGTGCACAGGCAGCAGCAGGCCAGCCAAGCAGCACAACAACCTGGAGAGAGATGCGCACACATCATTATTTGAGTTAAGTTGCTTGTTCAGTAAGATAGTATATATACCTTGTTATTAGCTTGTACCTATAATTGTTGATCAGTTAGGTAGCATGTTAACTAACTACCAATACACTGCTTAAAACAATAATTGTTCAGAATGTGTAGGTTTACTAGTTAATAAGAAAATAAATAAAATGTAATTGTTCAATAATGTGTAATTGTTCAATAATTCAATGTGTTGTGGGTAATAATACAAATATCTGATCATATAAAATTTGTGTTTATATTACTTTTAGAAATAAAAATATGTGATAATAAACAAACAAATCTAAACTAACAAATGTCAAATCAGATGGCCAGTCAATTTGTGTAACATTATTGTGTATTCCACGTAATGACACAGTTTTACGTTATTACGTAATGACGCCATCACGCAATGACATCACAACGTCTTTTAGCAACTTTTAGCAACAAATCGACCTGCCTATAGCAACTTCCCCTGAAAATTAGTTGGCAACACTGCGCTTGAGCTCCTGCAAAATAATGAATCAATAGATAGCGAAAGAGAATCGAGGAGGAATTCTCAACTCAAAGGGGTTCAGAAATAATTGATGACATCTTTGCAGAATTTACTATAACTCACAAATTATGGCGACTAAAAGGACGGTAATAGTGACAGGTAAGTGATTTGTGTCAATTATAGATAGTTTGCTGTCAGTTTTCTCTAAACTGTTGATTAAAATGAGTTGCCTGCACAAATTGAACCATACGAATAACAATTTTAGGTTTGAATGACTTTAGCCTATAGTGTTGTGTTTCTACATCTAGAAAACGAAATTATTTCTAAACTACTGTACAGTATAATCATCTTCCATTCATGAAATGTCTGTCAGTCAGGTAGCCGACGAAACTCAACTCCACGATTTACGATGGAGATGAGCGGCGACTAGTGTGGCCTGACTGGAGCTCCGACGTCACATACAATGATTTCTGCACCTGAAGAATAGCCCGCAATTACATAGAACAATGTCGTGTGTAATTGCGGGCTATTATTTTGGTGCTGATATCAGTCGTTTTTAAATTAAAAACTTCATTTTATGTAACTTCGGAGCTCCGGTCCGCCCACACTAGTTCTCGCTCAACTCCATTTAATTGGCTATCTGTCAGGTTGAAATCTCTGATTTGTGAGGAAGCAGAAGAGCAAACCAATCTATGACAGGTATATCAAGACAGAGGCGACAATGTAGCCATTTATGGATCGTCGTAGCCATTCATGGATACATTGTTGCCTTGTCGTGTTGGCAAGAAGCCTGGTCTTAGTGTTCTCTCCTATACAATTTAAATGGAAATTATAGCAGCCTATAGTGTCATCTTATCTATAAAACCCATGCACTCATTGGCATATATTGTGTGACAATTGACTGTATTTGTCAGCTGTGGTAATAGATAATATTTAACTTGATCTAACCTTTAGACTTTGAATGAAGAGTCTTGTGACGCTCATTTACATAGGCCTAGAGAGATAAGCAGCTATAAAAACAGTGTCTTTTTTTAGGGTTTGAACCTTTTGGAGATCACACCATCAATGCTAGCTGGGTGGCTGTTCAGGTAAGTGAGTTTGTTGAGTGTTCTGCATGGTGCATCATTGCATCATTAAATACCTATTTAACAATGTGTGAATGTTGTTACTACAGTTATTAGTGTTATCACGACACACTACACAGGTATAAAATCAACCGGTTTTAAAACCATGAGGCACAACAATTAACTCGAGGTATAATAAAGCTTTAGCAAATGAAATAGGGTTTGTGGTTTCTCCCCCACTTCCTGTTTCCTCTGTGTACAGGAACTGGAGCGGTTAGGCTTGGCTCAGAGTGTGGATCTGCACGTCTGTGAGGTGCCAGTGGAGTACCAGGCAGTTCAGAGTCTGCTTCCATCTCTATGGAAACAGCACAAGCCACAGGTAGCCACAAGAAATCATAGCAAGTGTCAACTGTTGTTCCTCACTTTATCTTTCTTTATTGCATGGTATAAAAGCCCTGACATAGTGTCTAAGTGCACAGTCTACACACTTACTGTATGACATACCATACGCTATTTATTCCTACTATATGACGTAAACATAATGACATCATTTATTGTCTTTATTGATATTACTCAGTAGCTCATGTTACAGTAATCTCTTTAAATTCTCGCTAACAACCCCCACCCCACACATCCTCTTCACCGCTGGTCAACAGTTGGTCGTCCATGTCGGGGTCTCTGGCATAGCCACCACGGTCACTCTGGAGAAATGTGGCCACAACCATGGCTACAAGCGGGTGGACAACTGCAGCTTCTGTCCAGACTCTCAGTGCTGTATGGAGGGGGGTCCTGAATGCATCGATTCAGTCATAGACATGGACATGGTATGCAAGAGGGTCAACTCCTCAAGGCTGGGTGTGGCAGTGTCAGTATCAAAGGACGCAGGCCGGTGAGTGCTGTGCTCGACTCTACTCTCATTCAACCAATCATATGGCACTATTTATGATATCTTACTTTTTTTCAATGAAACTCCATTAAAGGGATAGTTCACTCAAATTACAAATGTATTCTATCTATGAACATCCAAATCTTTAATTGTAGCATACTTTTTAGGTATTGATAAGATAGTGCTATGTCATAATTTGGGTGGTCAATCCCTTTATAATCTGAAATTCTAATTATAATTTACGCTTCAGAAACCCCATTCACCTGAATGGCAAATCCATTGATTCTGATAAAAGCTAATGCCTCTTTTTGTCTCTCTAACCCTAACTCAACCTTTGTCCCTGTCAGATACCTATGTGACTACACCTACTACACGTCACTGTACCTGGGGAAAGGCAGGTCAGCGTTTGTGCACGTTCCTCCTCTGGGGAAGCCCTACAATGCCCAGGACCTAGGCAGAGCCTTGCAGGCCATAGTGGGGGAGATGCTGGAACTTGTGGGTCAAGCTGAGGATGATGACCACCACCACGACCACTGCAGCCACCAGAACCATCAGCACGCTCACTAAAGAAAGACTTCCGGTGACCTTTGTCCTAAACTCACTGGTGCTGTCCTCAATGGACAGATAAAGCACTTAAACATCATCAGCATCTACCCATGGTAGTCTGGGGAGCATTAGCTAAAGAGAGGGGTATCAGCACTACCCTGTTGTAGGAACTAGAGAAAGGAAGAGTATGTGAATGAACATAGGCAGAGCCATGGCTATATCCATGGATAGTATATCTATGGCTCTGGGTATGGATATTTGACTGTATTTCACAAACAGAGTAATGGTCCAATGAACAGTGCTGTAGATTAGAGAAACATCTTTGTATATCCAGTGTGCACTGATGTGTGCTTTTAAGCCACATCCTCCTGACAACTGTATGACCGGCTGCTTCTCACTATTTTAAATAGTTCCCCTTTAAGTTCCTTATTCCACTCAGCAATCACTCTCGCTTTGACATAATGGTTAATGTAGTGTGCCGTTTATTGGATCAGCTCCAGCTCCCCCTTTGTCTTGTGGTTAATATTTGTTGTGAAATTGTATAATATCTGTATATTGTATAGTGTACAATATAAGGAGGCAACAATATGTTTTCTTTGATAAATGTACCTCAATCATGTGTTAATATCTCAGGTAATTATTGCATATACAATCAATATTGATAATGTGATGAATAATGATATGACGTTTTTTTTATCTTCAGTACCTGTATTCTCTACTTAGAATATGGAACAGGTCTAATGCTGTGATTAAATCACTAATGTCAGAGTTAGCCTTTTCTGTATTTTTTAAAAATAATTTCACACCTTTCAAAAAATGTGCCAATGAGAAGGTATAGTTGAATCTATACCAAATACGTAAAATAACTATTGCTGTAGTGTATATAGTAGTACAGTACTTGCTGTTCTTCATTACATCTAATGCAAATGAAAAGCATTAAATTGAATGTCATCTGACATAATATTATCAGGAAGGGTAAGCACTTGTGCTAAACAATTTCTGACTGTACCATAAAGCTCAGTGGACTGTACAGTGGGGCTAATCAAGGATGGTGAAAAATATTAACTTTTTGTGTAAACGTCATGGACACTCCTTTGAATGTGCTCTATGCATTTGTTCTGCGGCGCAAGGTGTTACGTCATTATTTCCAGTGGGAGTTGAGGCTCTCGAGCCTGTGTGGTGTCAGTTCTTCATTCATTTGCGTAGGTTTTTAGATATTTGTTCAAGTACAATTTTGGCAGGGACATCGACACATTGCTAATTTAGCTATTCTACCTAAAATATCATTCTGAAATATAACTGTTAGTGGAGAACATGAGTGTTGAGGCATACGGGCCGAGCTCGCAGACTCTCACGTTCCTGGACACTGAGGAAGCGGAGTTGCTTGGAGCAGATACCCAGGGTTCGGAATATGAGTTCACAGATTTTACCCTACCGAGCCAGACTCAAACAGGCCAAACGCAGAGTCAGTTGGACAACCAGGTTCGTGGAATAATTGTTGGATATTTTGTGGAAAACTACCTCGCTAACAGCGTCCTTAATATGGAACCTTGGAGGTAGCTAGTGTGCAGAAGCAGCTAGGTTAGCATATCTAGCACGCTAGCTGTCGAGCTACATAGAAAACACATGCATCTGCCCCAGAGGCCACGCAGCTGGCTAACCAGTTAGCTTAGCCAGAAAGTTTACATAATGATTTAGCATGCTAGCATTCGCTAATATGCGTTCTGAGATGGACACCAGGATTATTTGACAAGCAGTCTGTCATTTTCTTGATAAGTAAGGTAGCCATGACTGTACCATTTTTAAACTTAATTATCTGCATGACAGTCACAACAGGTAGTTAGCAAGCTTTAGATAGTAGGCATACTAGTTAGCTGCTGTGAGTTTGCTACAGCAAGTGCATTTAATAGCAAGTTAGCTAACTAGCTGTCAAATGCACTTGTAGCTAAAACCTTTTTATTTGTGGTGGTGTGTGTCCTTTTCCAGGTTATTGACATTATGTTGCCACTGTCTTTAAATGTCCACGTTTTTCTCCAGGTGAATGTGCCTGATGGAGTTCTGCAGAATGGGGAAGACCCTGTTGTAAAAGCAAGTCAACTCCTTGCAGATTTGAACTTTGAAGAAGACGAGGAGGACACCTATTATACTAAAGACCTCCCAGTCCATGCATGCAGGTAATGTTCAGAAATCCTTTTAGTTCTGTCAGACTGATAAAAAATGTGAGTGTTGAAAGTTAGCTTGTTTTATCTGACTTTACCTTGCCCTAAACATCAATATTAATGTTGTCATTGTGCTATTTATTTCCTTTCCCCAGTTACTGTGGCATTCACGATCCGGCATGCGTGGTGTATTGCAACACCAGCAAGAAGTGGTTTTGCAATGGACGCGGCAATACGTCTGGCAGGTAGGCTTCAAAGACCAACCAACAGCAGTTGTTGACCTTTCATCTGTGGTGTACTCAGCTAAATGTAGTTGCCGTCTACTCTACGTGGGAGGCTGTACACAGGAAGTAGAAATGTGATGCAAATGGAGACTGAAGTGACTTATACCCTTTTAACAAGGGTCAGAAAGACATTTACCAGAAATGTTGATATACCTACATTTTACATTTACATTTGAGTGATTTAGCAGACGCTCTTATTCAGAGCAACTTACGGTAGTGAGTGCATACATTTTCATGCTTTTTCTCTCACCTTCTCTCTCAGTCACATTGTGAACCACCTGGTCAGAGCCAAGTCCAAGGAGGTGACTCTGCACAAGGACGGTCCTCTGGGGGAGACGGTGCTTGAGTGCTACAACTGCGGCTGTCGCAACGTCTTCCTCCTGGGCTTTATCCCCGCCAAAGCAGACTCTGTGGTGGTACTGCTTTGCAGGTAAAGCAGGTCTATGGTGTTTGTTAACCATCTTTATACCATTCTGTATCACAATGATCAGATGCCCTGTTTCTCAAAATGTTCTTGGCCCTTCTCAGACCTAGATCCAATGGCTCTAATAATTGAATCAAAGAGATTTTGTAATAGAGTGCATTGATAGACGTAATGTGTTTGTTTTGGTAATGCAGGCAGCCATGTGCCAGTCAGAGCAGTCTGAAAGACATCAACTGGGACAGCTCCCAGTGGCAGCCGCTGATCCAGGACCGCTGCTTCCTCTCCTGGCTGGTGAAGATCCCCTCGGAGCAGGAGCAGCTTCGGGCCCGCCAGATCACCGCCCAGCAGATCAATAAGCTGGAGGAGCTCTGGAAGGTTCATAAGATGCCTTATTTAGCATGAGTTTACCAGCAGTTTACTATAGGCCAGTGGCCTTCTACTTTGGTCGTTTTTATATAAAAGCCAGTTATAGAGCAGCACTCTATATGTGGTTGTTGTTTGACTGTATCTGTCTGTCTGGGTGTCTTCAGGAAAACCCCACGGCCACTCTGGAGGACCTTGAGAAGCCCGGCGTGGACGAGGAGCCTCAGCACGTGCTGCTGCGCTACGAGGATGCCTACCAGTACCAGAACATATTTGGCCCCCTGGTCAAACTGGAGGCTGACTACGATAAGAAACTCAAAGAGTCCCAGGTAAGGCCAACTTTGTTCTGCTGGACTGTTCAGGCTAGCTCTTCCTGCTTTTGGATGTAAAGGCAGTTTTGGTTTTACATGTTTGAGTGATCGCTCTCTCGTCTGTTTGTTTCACAGACCCAAGACAATATAACTGTCAGGTGGGACTTGGGACTCAATAAAAAGCGGATTGCTTATTTCAGCCTTCCCAAGACGGACTCAGGTGGTAATTCCTTTTTTGTTCATCTCCATCAACGTCACGAAGTGTCCACAAGTGGTCCATGTCCATTCCATTCCAGCCACTACCTCCCCTCGCATTCTCCCTGACGAGCATGCTGGCCTGTCTTATAGTCTAAGTCTGAATGTGTGTGTGCATGTACGATTACATTTTTGTATGATGAATGTTCTAAAATCTATCAATTCTAAAATGTGCCTTTCATAAGCTAATTCCCTTTCCCTTGCTTTGCCATTCTCTGTGTTTCTGTAGACATGCGCCTGATGCAGGGTGATGAGATTTGCCTGAGGTACAAGGGAGATCTTGCCCCGCTCTGGAAGGGCATTGGACATGTCATCAAAGTCCCAGACAGTATCCTTTTCATTGTTATGTTGTGTTACCTTTTACTCTTCAGCATCTTGTTTAATGCACAATTGATTTACATGATTGTTTCTCTGTTTGGCGTTATCCTTGCAATACCACCACAATATCTCCACATTAGTCTCTGGAATGAATAGGTGTAATGTTTTGTGGTGTATAGTTCTTAATCCTTCCCTAATAGACTATGGCGATGAGATAGCCATCGAGCTGAGGAGCAGTGCTGGGGCTCCCGTGGAAGTACCACATAACTTCCAGGTTGACTTTGTGTGGAAGTCCACCTCTTTTGACAGGTAGGAATCCTCTGACAAAAATCAATATGTGATGCAATGGGTTGGGCTCAGCTTGCTTGGCAATGGACTTACTATTACACCATGTTTCAACTTTTCTGCAGGATGCAGAGTGCCCTGAAAACCTTTGCAGTGGACGAGACCTCTGTGTCTGGGTACATCTACCACAAGCTGCTGGGTCACGAGGTGGAGGACGTGGTCATCAAGTGTCAGCTGCCCAAACGCTTCACCGCCCAGGGCCTGCCTGACCTCAACCACTCACAGGTGGGTGTTATCATAGACAGAAGTTATGAGTAGATTTGAGTTATTCCTTCGAAAACAATATTTGCTGACAGTTTGGCATTTTACAATGTTGTGTGTCATCACGTAGGTGTATGCTGTAAAGACTGTGCTGCAGCGTCCTCTCAGTCTCATCCAGGGGCCCCCTGGCACTGGGAAAACTGTCACCTCTGCCACTGTAGTGTACCACCTGGCCAGACAGGGCAACGGGTAAGATGTGATCACTTAATAGGGGACACCATATACAGTACTGACAAGTAAATAACTTTCACTACAAGAGTGACTACATTAGTATTGGCAGAGGTCATCACTGCAAATGACACATTGTTCTCAGTTGACCAACCAAAAGGTTAATAAAGCACCTTATCCATCCCTAACACCAGTTGTGTGTGTGTGTGTGTGTCCTCAGGCCAGTGCTGGTGTGCGCTCCCAGCAACATTGCGGTGGACCAGCTGACTGAGAAGATCCACATGTCGGGCCTGAAGGTGGTGAGGCTCTGTGCCAAGAGCAGAGAGGCCATTGACTCCCCTGTGTCCTTCCTGGCTCTTCACAACCAGATCCGCAACATGGACAGGTAACCTGGGACTGCTACCCAGAGAGGAATGGTGTCTTTATCTCATCAGGTGTCCTGTTATCTCGAGACGAAGGATCGATTCCACTTGAGAACTAGGCTATGGGCCATGAGAGTTGCCTCAGTTTAAAAGCATAGATGCGCAGGTCATGTTCCGAGGGCTTTCCTCTGCCTTGCAGCTTTTCTGCACATTAGCCTTCATTATAGGCTACATCATTTCAGCACAGTAAAGAGCACTGGTTTCTCAGTTTGTGTTTTGCTGTATCTGTGTGCAGTATACCAGAGCTTCAGAAGCTGCAGCAGCTGAAGGACGAGACTGGGGAGCTGTCCTCCTCTGATGAGAAGCGCTACAGGGCCTTGAAGCGCACCGCCGAGAGGGAACTACTCATGGTAACATCTGCTTCTTTTCCACTCTCCCTTAAATCAAAGTCCTAAAAATGTCTTAATTCCACTGTAAATAAATATCTACTTCCTCAAGTTGATTATCACTGACCATGTCTCCCTTCACTCCCATCTCTGCTCCTCAGAATGCTGATGTGATCTGCTGTACCTGTGTGGGGGCAGGAGACCCCCGCCTGGCCAAGATGCAGTTCCGCTCCATCCTCATTGATGAGAGCACGCAGGCCACTGAGCCCGAATGCATGGTGCCTGTCATACTTGGGGCCAAACAGGTATGTCTCAGGGCAATCTTTAAGAGAAATTATGCCCAGTCAGTTAGCTCAATGACAGGTCCCAACTTCTCTCTGTGTCTCGTACAGAATGTTAATCAAAAGTTGTTGCTGATGGACAAGTGTAGTGACATTTATTGCCTCCAGTTGTCTGTGCTTGGTTGAATCTGACATTATTGCAAGTGCAGAAGACTGAGTGAGGCACTACAGCTACACCCAATTCTAGTTCCCACGCCACACAACATTGGATTTGAATTGGAATTACCTTTCTATTCATACTAAATCTATGATTTCTCTCTGTTTCTCTCCAGCTGATCCTGGTGGGAGACCATTGCCAGCTGGGTCCAGTAGTGATGTGTAAGAAGGCAGCCAAGGCAGGCCTGTCCCAGTCCCTGTTTGAGCGTCTGGTGGTGCTGGGCATCAGGCCCATCCGTCTGCAGGTGCAGTACCGTATGCACCCAGCCCTCAGCGCCTTCCCCTCCAACATCTTCTACGAGGGCTCCCTGCAGAACGGAGTCACCGCGGGTAAGTCGTTGAGGGAAAAGGACTCGGTGCCAGTGTATAGAACCCTCATAAACAGAGGTTAGGGTTAGGTTATGTGTTTGGCCAGTGTCGTGACGTGACTTTCATTATTGTGATGTCTATTATTTATCGAATAATGACCTACTATGTTTAAATGTTACTAGATTAAATGAATCATGTAGCAATTAACTCATTAGGAATTTGGGGCACCACAGGAAAAGTTGTTTAACGAGTTACCGTTTCCTGAATTAACTCTAAAGATATCTTGATATCTCTTATCGTTTAAGTCATTTATTAATAATTTACCTCATATCAGTCTCATTCTGAGAGTCGTAGGCTCTTTAAGTCTGCACGAACCTTACTGATCATTCCTTACCATACAAATTGATGTAATTATTTATTTACTAACTAATTAAAAATTATAACACAAGATACAAACACGCACACGGTATAGGTAGGGATTAGAAACTTAATACAATGAAAACGTGTCCCTAGCGGACTAACACAATATGACACTTGTTACAAAAGATGGCGATTTAAAGAGAGAGAGAGAAAACACTTGGATACACATGGACCTATGCTCACAGTAATCCTAATACTTTGCCCCAAACTGCCGCCCGTTTGGGAAGAAAAGCAATGCATGTATTTACGTGTTGGAGGTCTTCGTGGTGTATCTCTGTTGGACCCAGGCCTTCGTGGGAAGGGGTCGATTGGGCCTTCTCTTTCGGATGGCCTTTTAGATGTAAGGCTCAGATTGTCCACAAGAGGTCACAATGGCCTTCTTCTTAGTTTTCTGTTTACTTTCACTCATTCTGGAAGTGGTCTTCTGAGGACGGCTAATCAGCCGTGTCGATGATCCCCTGTGGGGTGATGAGAGCAGTGTAGTAGACGATGGCTTGAAGAGAGTAACAGGATGGTCCCACCTAAATTCACCTTCTTAGATACAGTACTTAGAACAGCTACTCAGCCGTAACATTGATTGTTAGTGGAGGCAACTTTGTCGTCTTCACCTCGTGTTGATTTTCAGGTTCGGGACCAATATGGACAAAAGCTGCAGCTTGAGGTCCGTCTAGTCTGATCTGATAATTCTTATCTCAGTCTTTTATGCACTCTGGTAAAGAGGAGCGTTTCCGTCATACTGACCCGCTCTCTGAGCTCCCTCGAGCGTGGCTAGTTACGAGGCAAAATTATTATCATCACTATGATTTTGTTAGGAATGTGATTTTAGCTTTCTATCTTCACAAAAACATTGTCTTCCTCCTTGATATTTTCTACACAAGGTAAAGGATGCAAACCTGATATCCACAGTGTAAAAGCTCTTCAAGTCACAATGTTTTCATTATAACACCTTTATACCATTTTGAATGACATCACAAAATAGACATACATTTTCCATTTTCCATTTCTCATCATTCCCAACATTTAGATGTTGAAATATATTGTCCCAATGTTCATTGTTGGATGTTGAAGTTTTTGGCCGGCAAAAAGTCTCTGGAAAAAAAGGCATTCCTTTCACCATACTAGGATGCCAGAGATAGATTATCCTCCTCTCTAATTTATGGCAGTATTAAGGTGTCAAGACAGGCACAGCCCCCCTGTGAGTTACCTGTCCCTGTGGGTAAGAGGGTCTGGTTGTTGTCGGCCATTTGCCAAGCTGATGTGAGGCCTTTGATTCTCACCCAGGGAGAGTCATGACACCAGCAAGCGGGGAATGGGCTCCCTGTTGTCTACAAACTAGTTGGGCAGTTGACATAATCCGTCTCGAAGGACCAAGAAAACAGAACAATCATGTATTGCCTTATAACAGAAGGTTTTACTAAGTTTGCACCAGGTGGAAAACACCCAAAACAAAGCTAAAACATGTCACTGGCTTCTACACTTAATTCTGGATGAACCTTAATGTTAACGTACTAACTCTCCCTTTCTTGACCTCTTTCTTTTAATTATACAGCTGACCGCATCAAGAAAGGCTTTGACTTCCAGTGGCCACAGCCAGACAAACCCATGTTCTTCTACGTGACCCAGGGCCAGGAGGAAATCGCAAGCTCTGGAACCTCCTATCTTAACAGGTATTTGACAAACGGAAGCATTTGTCATTTCTGACCAAACAGACAGACTTCATTCATAAAAAGGGTATGTTTGCTTTTTTTTAGTGAATAAGCTTTTCTTCTCTTCTCTCTCTATCTCAGGACTGAGGCTTCCAACGTGGAGAAGATCACCACCAGGCTGCTCAAGGCCGGGGCCAAGCCTGACCAGATAGGCATCATCACCCCCTACGAGGGTCAGCGGTCCTACCTGGTGCAGTACATGCAGTTCAGTGGCTCTCTCCACACCAAGCTCTACCAGGTACAGCATGCTCACAGGGTTAGGGAGTTATATCAGATGGGAAAGAAATTATAATGGCATGCCACTGTGGCACTCAAGTCTGTGTAGTACTTTCTGCAGTACCTTTAAAAACGGGATACATTACTGTTTTTATGTTTAGGCCAGATGGTGATTGGAACAGTACTAGTTAATAGTTTTCCTGTCTCTTGGCTGTCCTCAGGAGGTGGAGATAGCCAGTGTCGATGCCTTCCAGGGCAGAGAGAAGGACTTCATCATCCTGTCCTGTGTCAGAGCCAACGAGCACCAGGGCATTGGCTTCCTCAACGACCCACGACGTCTCAACGTGGCTCTCACCAGGGCCAGGTAAACAACACCTGGACCTGTGCAGTACAGTCCCTCTCGGTTTCCTGATGCTCAACAGATAATTAGAAACATCTTATCATCCTGTCTTTTTAACTTTTGAAAGACTATTTGAATATTTGTCTTTGGTGTTATGTCAACATTTGATCATTACTCTGACAGTCCCAAAGTATAGAAGTCCTATTCTCTACCTGTAAAGGAACTGTGTCCTGTGTGTGTGTGTGTAGGTATGGGGTTATCATCGTGGGCAACCCCAAGGCCCTGTCCAAGCAGCCTCTGTGGAACCACCTTCTCAACTACTACAAGGAGCAGAAGGTTCTGGTGGAGGGACCCCTCAACAACCTGAGAGAGAGCCTCATGCAGTTCAGCAAGCCTCGCAAGCTGGTCAACGCCATCAACCCTGTGAGTCTCGTCCCCCCTTGAACACGTGTGGGTGTGTTTGATCATGTACGTGTTTATGTGGTGCGTGGTGTTTTACTTTCATGATTTACTTTGGTGTAAATGGGACACCATTATAAAAAGAACATGTGCGTCGGCTACTTTTCCGACTTACTGAAATGTTTGTTCTATGTGTGGGTTCTTCAGGGGGGCCGTTTCATGAGCACAGCCATGTATGATGCCAGGGAGGCTCTTATTCCTGGATCTGTGTATGACCGCAACAGCACTGGTGAGAGGCGACGTCAAACTGTAAACTTGTGTGTCTTTGTACTTGTCTTGCCATTGTCTAAAATGGTCTCTTTTCTCCCTTCAGGACGTACATCCAACATGTACTTCCAGACCCACGACCAGATTGGCATGATTGGCCCAGGCCCCATGGCCTCCATGAACATCCCCATCCCCTTCAACCTGGTCATGCCCCCGCCAGGCTACATGGGCCAGGTCAACGGCCCCCAAGCAGGCCGTGGCGGAGGTATGAAGGGTAAGGCGGGCGGAGGGGCACGAGGCGGGCGCCAGAGGAGCCGTGGTATGGGGAACAATGGCGGGGGCAGTGGGCAGCACGGCCACGTGAGTGGCAGCCAGGCCAGCCAGGACCTGGGCTCCCAGCCCTTCTCCCAGGGACCCCTCACCCAGGGCTACATCACCATGAGCCAGCCCTCCCAGATGAGCCAGCCTGGCCTGTCTCAGCCTGAACTCTCCCAGGTAAGTCAGCAGAACCTTTACATTTTCATCATTTAGCAGACATTATTGGTCTGACATAGACATACATGCATGAAAATAAGCAGGCTAAAAGCTTCTCCTTTGTTGTTTTCCTTATAGGACAGCTACCTTGGCGATGAGTTCAAGTCCCAGATTGACGTGGCCCTCTCCCAAGACTCCACCTACCAGGGGGAAAGAGCCTATCAACATGGTGTGACTGGACTGTCCCAGTACTAGAGTGTAAGACTACAGTTATCTGTGAACTTTTTGCACTGTACATTCTATGAGCCAAGCCAACAGTTACTGTAAGATGTTGTTTAGTAATATCATAGTATCAGGTGGAGTAAAGAGGAGACCAGATGCTCTTTATCAGGGTATTACAATTATCTTTGTTTTATTTTACTCTTAGGTTGTGGGAAAAGGAGCTAAGCCTGTGCTGAGCTTAGTTCGCCTGCATTTTAATCTGGGTAAAATCAAAAAAAGAAACATGGATACCCGTTTTCCACTGCTACAACTGAAGCACCACTGTGTGAAAGCAACAGGAGAGAGACCGAGAGAAACCAACCAATCACAAGAGTGAGAGCAAAATGGGGTTTGAGCTGGACAGGACGAGAGAGAAACAAAGAAAGAGGGAGGGAGAGAGAGGAGGTCCTGCTCGCACACGGCGACATGGAGAAGAAGGAGAAGCAGCATACGTCGGAAGTAGCGCCATCGGAGAGACGGGACCTTCGGTGATGGGTCAAGGGACGAAGGTTGTGGATCCTCTTGGGGGACACAGGAGTCACATCCCTGCCACCTCCCCCCCCCCCCCCCCCCCCCCCCCCCCCCCGGGGACCACCAGTTAGTTGGCTGAGTTCCTTGCTCTTGGAGCAGAGAGACTGAGTAGAGGAGTTCTAACACAACCCTTCAAGCTCAATCCACAAACCGTCTCCTGCCAGCCAGAGGGGGAAAAAAGGGAGGAAACTCTTTAAGCAGTCAGTCGATTTGGAAAATTTCTAACCTCAAAGTTGAACCGTGCTCATGCTTGGCATTTGAACATGTTTGAGCGAGAGAGAGAGAGAGAGGGGGAGAGGGATCGTGCGGACCAAGAGGTCGCGGTCGAACATCTCAAACGGAATCAAATGATGCAGGAGTCGGGAAAGAATTCTGAGCATTCATCTTTTTCAGCTTTGAGTTGGAAAGTTTTCTACATGAGGTCTGTTGTCGCAGAGGTTCTGATATAAGAAGCTTGTGAATTTCGCTGGCTTTCCGCTTGGGTCTTTCTCAAGGTGGTCTACTAAGGAAAAGTGGTGGAATGGCTCTTGAAACTATTAAAGGAAGACATTATTGTCTCGAGATCCGAAGTGGTAGTTTGTGAGACAAGTTTTCGTTGTTTTCTGCGAAGTGTATCTTTCTTTAGTACAAAAAGACGAGTAAAACGAATACCATAACCAACCTATTTTAATCGAATGAAGCAGTTATCACTTGATGTTCTAAATGACCTCCAGATGATTAGTTTAAAAAGCATCACAGCTCCACAGACATGAAACCGCTTGTAGAACGCAGATATCTTTTCCATGGCTACATGGCTAATTCATTAACCAACACTAAGCAAGGAAGTTATCCCTAGAGCCCCAAGTTTAAACATTCAATTCTGTATCAAATCATGTTTTCCTTTATTGGTCATGTTTAGGCTAGCTTCAGATAAGAGGTGCTTCACATGGAAACATGCATTTATCTTCAGAGAGGTTATAGACATGAAGTGTGTGAATACTACAATCACAAGACTCTTTGGAAGTCTTGAAGTTCTGTCTTTGCGGTGCCATAACTGACTACAAAGGAAGGTTGGAAGCGTCTGGCACCTGCTAAATGTAGGTATTCAGTGCTGGCTATCATTGGCCCCATGTGAAAAAGATAAATAACTGAAATGAATGTTATGAACTACCTTTGAAAAAATGTCATATCTGACGATACCTTGACGAGATTCTTGACAGATGGGAGGCATTTCTGTCAGTGTGTGCCAGAGGACGAGAATAAATGTTTGTCCACATTGGTGTTGTAAACACACTATGGTAGTTTCTATTTAGTGCCCATTAAAGGGTGTGGTGTAGATTTGTGTAGCCCCCAACACATCATACCCCCTTTAAAAAGTAATGTATGTGGTAGATTGCGTGAACCGTATTTTCCAGTTGAAGTTGACATTTTACTTTCCCCTTTGAATGTCCTTTAGTTTTGATGAAACCGCCAATACATACACCTTCAAACATGTAGTAGGCCTACTACCCTGTCACACATAGAGAAACAATGTTGATGTAATTTGTATCATTGATGGTAAAGTTTCCCACGTGTAAAGTTATATTTTGTTTAAGTCCTACTTGTGTCACTTCCCTGCCATGCAGTGCTTGACTTGGACTGAAATAGGTGCTGGTACTCATTTTGTGTGCTGGTACTGTTTATATTTAGGTGCAGGTTCTAGGGTTGGGCGGTATCCAGATTTTCATACCGTTTCTGTACCATACCGGGGTATACGGTATTACCGGAAGTGCATACAAGAGGCGCTATTTAAAAAGAACCATAACCACAACAAACCCCCCCCCCATACTGTTTTTTCAAAACCGTTTTTTTAATGGTATTGAAAATCATACTGTGTATTTCGAAATACCTTGGTATACGGTATAAACAGTACATCGCCCAAGCCTAGCAGGAGCTCCACAATACTTTTGCGCTAATATTCTATAAGAGGTACAGCAGCACAAGGAGTAGAACATTGTAGGTGCCGGTACTACGCTCCGGTGAGCTCCTGCCAAAGTCAAGCACTGCTGCCATGTTAGTTTTAGGTCTGAGATGTATCACTCTGAAATTATGAAATGTGTGAAACCATCACTCATTAATTATGGTACCCTTCCTTTCATGTTTGTGATAATTGAGTGTCATTTGACAATTGTCATGTAATTTTGCTGAATCGTGTGAGAGGCTACGATTTTCAGAAGTCATAGTTGTATGCTAGTGACGTGGTTAAACATTGTCTGTTATGAACAGCTGTGGAAAGACGTTTCTATGTTTAAGATGCCACCCATTCTGACTAAATGTGTTTGTACTTACAAAAATATCTGCTGATATCTGTATCTTAGGGACATTAACCCCTTCCCTCAGATAAATTATGAAAATGTGTTGTTTTCCGTGACAACTATCCGTATCTGACTGTGTGTGCCATTCAATTGGCAGGTTTCATCACTAAACATTCATTTCTTTTTGTTGTTCCTTTATGAAATCGGCCTATCATTTCAAAGGGGGAACTACTTAAGAGAAATGAAATGTTGCTGCAACTAAATGGGGAGGGTATGAAATGCAAGTAGATTAAATATCAGTGCACTGCAAATGTTCCTTTGAACTATATTTGAAGATGAGCAAACAATTTATTTGCCTCAGAGAGGGTTTTGCGTTGAAGTGAGTGAAGTGATATTTCTTTCTCCATGTTGTTTGAATATGATTATGTAGTTATTTGGTCATCTGTGACGCTCACTCAAATATCATCCTTGTAACATCTTTGAAAAATAAAGGTTGCTTCTTTTCACTCATTTTAAGTGAAGATTTCACTTAACTAATCACTGGAATGATGATTAACTCAACTACTAGTAGCGCTGAGCTTTATAGACTTGACATCTGGACCCCATAGGCAAGTGCGGGACCTAAATCTCAAGTTTAGGCCTACATGGTGCGGACTTCAGAACTGTGTCCTCGTTAGCCTATCATTGTTAAGGAATTTGTTTTAATGTGAGGTATGTGAAAATAAAATACTGTATGGCCTTAATTAGTGTTTACAAGGCCTTATTTATTTGCTAATGGTCAACAGTGAAGTAGCTTACTGCATGAGTTTTGTCAGTATAAAATTAAATGGAATTTGACCCACCAAACTGTAACCAGCAGGTGGTGGTATATAGACGGGTTGTAAACACAACTGTAGGAAATCGTTACCATGAAGCGCTGCACCGCGCGAGGCTTTTGACGATATGAAATGTAACCAATAAAAAAGTAGCTTGCACCAAGGGATACTTTGTAGCCTACCAGTGCATAACACTGCACGCTTGCGACTTATATTGCGCCTTCAAGAGGAATATAGCCTACAACCAGATCTTCGCGGGGCACTGCGCTACAACAAGGTTACTGAAGTGCAGCCAAAGAGAAGAAAATCTGAGAAATATACAGATGATGGACCGCCCGGACTGTGGCCACTGATACACGTTGCTCCAGTTTAGTAATGGCATCGATGTCCAACGTCGTGGTAAGCGTTTTAAAGTGAAGGGACAGGGCGCATATCATTTTATTGACAGCTAATGTCCACAGTAGCCTATTAACAGCCAAGTCTTTTCCTCAGCAGTGAAATTCCGGTGGTAAATTGGAAAGCATCCGTATCCGGACACATAAGAGGAAGGATTTCAGCTCCAATATTCTAAAACATAAATGAGCCCACATTACACCTGGATCAATACATCTCATTAATATTTTACAACGAAATGAGGTAAGTGTTTCGTGTAACTATTCAACTCACTGACTTATTGCATTTGACGCTGGTAAATTCCCTATGAGAGAAAAGTTTAGGTTATGTTGCAGTCAGTCAGGTCAATATTTCAATGGTCGGGGAAAATGCGTTTTAATATTGGGGTACATACCTTGATCTATAAATTGAAAGGCTATTGATAAATAGAACAAACTTTCACTGTTTTTCCGGTCATATTTCTTCTAGTGCCAGTTGTCTATTTTTTTGTTGTTGAAAACATCATCTTGATGTGCAAACTATTTTAACATTAATCAGTGTGTTAACTTCCTTCTTCCACAGAAAGAACACCTCTCCTGCCTAATAAGATGTATCCACACCATCGAGAAAGGTAAGTTGCTGTTATATTAGATTTATTTTACATCAGAGATGATATCCTCTCCTGAACACCTACTCAATAGCCCCTGTTGCCTGTCTGTGTCCTTGTTCCAGTGGTGGCATAATGACCACAAAGTCCAAATTAAGAGATCAATCCCAACATTTGACAGTTGTCAGTAAAAGTATTGGTGTAATGACCTTGGGATGCCTATGATTCTTACAGGACCTCTGCTTCAACAGGACAAGAGAGAGTCTTCTCTTGTGTCCTATGGAGTAGTAGTATAATAGTGCGCCAATGTTTGATCATAAAGCAAGTAGGTAGAATGGCTCTGGAATTACATTTACAAGTTTTGGAGTGATGTTGATTTGCATCTGAGAATATCGCACTAGCTTCAATGTTTATTGATGTTATATTGATAAGTGGTTTCAAACTTGATTTACAAAGTAAACCAGTTTATCTGTTTATCTCACATTATGTTAGTGATACTGCAGAGACCAGCACTAACTTATTTGAGCAGTACATTTCTGTAATTGCTCTACTAAGGCCACTGTTGGCCTATTATTGCTGTACTCATTCGGGAGAGAAGTACTCGCCCAGCAGCACAGTATGCCCCAGAATCTCCTCTAGAAAAGCGTCCATGTAAATTATTCTGTTTACAGTGTGTAGAGGAATCAACTGTAATAATATACCAAGAAACAGTTAGAACTGATAGTGTGAGTGCTAACATTCTACAAAAAGAGAACATTAATTAAAGTAGTTGTTATCCGTAATAGATATAGAAAAGCATTGTTGTGGAATTTCCATCACCAGAATGTTGTTTTTCATTATCTGAAATCTGATTCTTCTCCCGATGTCTATCCTGGTGGAATTCAGCTCACCTATTTAACAGCCGGAGGATATGTAATGAAACCAATCAATATTTTCTAACCGTGTACAGGGTTCAAATTATAGGGGGGGTTAGGGGGTGCTGAGAACTCCATAATAGGGCCCCCTATAACAATTAAAATATAAATGTTGGGCACCACCAGGAGCCTGTGTATAATTCGAACCCTGACTGTGTGTGTGCGCGCGCAACTGTGCACATACTGTGTGTGTGTGTGTGTGTGTGAGAGAGAGAGTTTGTGTGGGTCTGTGCAGCATATGTACACACAGCCAACTAAGCCATGTCCATCTGTTGAACATGAATGATGAATAGTGGATCCTCTGAAGAGATCTGTTATCCAGTTAGCTCCAACAGAGAGACAATCGTCTAAAACACTGAAACATCTGGGTTGTGCCTGATGCAAGCGCTTAGGTCTCTCATAGGGCTACACCTCCTTGGTACTAGGGGAATGTGTGTGGAAGTAAAAGAGGCAGCGCCGATGGCTCCCTGGCGTCCCGGTGGCTCAGGCTCTGCAAGGTGATCTCATTGCATTGGGGTGATCCCTGCGGAGCCAGGATCCAGTGATCCAGTAAAGTTGTTCCCTATGATAATAGAGGCGTGAGGAAAAACCCAACTGACCAAAGGACCAATCAGATGGATGGTGGGTGAAGCTCAATCCCCATAGAGGATAACTTCCCTTGCCTGGTCAAAGTTGGGCTAACAAACCTTCCCTAACATCGGCACCAAATGCTCCATGAGAATAACAATCTAACCCAGAATGTCAATCAATTGCATCATATGTAAACTAATAATTGGGAAGCTTTGGTGCCAACATGGTAGTCGTTGAATTTCCATGTCTCAAAGTGAGAGGCTACCGAGTTCGGCAATATCTGTCTGACTCTGTTCCACAGCACTGCTCCCGTCCCCTGCCTGGCCAACCCTCTGATCAGTGTCTGTCTGAGCCTTGGGTGACTGCCAGCCTTATAGAAGCTGGTTATTAAGCATGAGATCAGCTGACAAGAGTGATATTACTGTGTGATGAGACAGAGAATTGCAGCCCAGGGTTTTATCAGGGAGCTTGCCAAACATGGTCCGCAAGCCCGGGGGGGGGGGGGGGAGGGGGGGGGGGGAGAGAAGTCTGTGGATCTGCTTTGATGGTGATAGTTCTTATTAGCAGGAGGGTTAATGTGAAGAAAAGTCTTGACATGGAAAGTAATAACGCAGGCTAGCAACCAATAGTTGTCATTGTAAGCTAATTGTTTTCGTATACTTGGGATTCTTGCGGTTAAAATGGTAGGCCTAAACTAATTTACACCAAAACTCATGAGATTTAGAGATCCTGGCACATAGAATCAGAGCAAAGATTCAAAGGCCATTAACTGAAATCTGATCCTGTGTCTGCTTACCTCCATCACTGAAGAGGTCAGACTAGAGTTAATTTGGATACAATGTGCACATTGACCTGGTATTTGCCATGTCTTAAATCATCCATCAATTCTCTAGTTGATATTTGTGGTAGATTTATTTTTTGCTTATAGCATTCAATGCGCACAGTGACCTGGTATTTGCCATGTCTTAAATTATCTAGTTGATATTTGTGATAGATTCAATTTACTTATAGCATACAGTCCCCTGTAGCTCAGTTGGTAGAGCATGGCGCTTGCAATGCCAGGGTTGTGGGTTCGTTTCCCACGGGGGACCAGTATGAAAATGTATGCACTCACTTAACTGTAAGTCGCTCTGGATAAGAGCGTCTGCTAAATGACTAAAATGTAAAATGTTTAAAGAGGTAGGGTTTCAGACGTTTTTGGAAGATGGTCAGGGATAGGGGGAAGCTTGGACAGGAGAGTTTTGACTGGGTTGAGCGGGAGCTGACCCCTGTAGGGGTAGGAGGGCCAAGAGACCAGAGGTGGCAGAACGGAGTGCTCGGTTTGGGTGTAGGATTTGAGCATAGCCTGAAGGTATGGAGGGGCAGTTCCCCTTGCTGCTCCATAGACAAGCACCAGGGTCTTGAAGTGGATGCAAGCTTCGACTGGAAGCCAGTGGAGTGTACAGAGGAGCAGGGTGACATGGGATAACTTGGGAAGGATGAACACAGTGGCATCGGTTTAGCTAAACCTCGGGTATGGCAAAGTGGGGTATACACCAAGCCGTGACTTGGTGTATAGAGAAAAGAGGAGCGAGGGCCTAGAAACGAGCCCTGGGGGACACCAATAGTGAGAGCATGTGTTGCGGACATACATCCTCTCCACATCACCTAGTTCAAGCGACCTACCAGGTAGGATGCAATCCAGGAGTGTACAGAGCCTGAGACACCCAGTCCTGAAATGCTGGCGAGGATCTGATGGTTCATGATATTGATGGCAGCGGATAGATCAAGGAGGATGAGAATAGAGGAGAGCGAGTCAGCTTTGGCAGAGCGGAGAGCCTCCATGACACAGAGGAGAGTGGTCTCGGTTGAGTGAGCCATCTTAAAGCTTGACTGGTTAGGGTCAAGAAGGTCGTTCTGAGAGAGAAAACGAGAGTTGGTCATAGACCGCACGCTGAAGTGTTTTGGAAAGCAAAGAAAGAAGGGATACTGGTCTGTAGTCAGAGGGGTCAAGTGTTGGTTTCTTGAGGAGGGAAGTGACTCTGGCCATCTTGAAGCCTTGAGCCAATGGTCAGAGATGAGGGAAGTGAAGAATGGGAGAAGGTCTCCAGAGATGGTCTAGAGGAGGGGATGGGGTCGAGTGGGAAGGTTGTTGGGCGGCTGGACATCACTGGTCACAGGATTTCATCTGGAGAGAGAGGGTAGAAAGAGGTCAAAAGGCATAGGGTAGTTCTGTGTAATTGGGACCAGTGGACTCAGTAGGCTGAGTGGATGTTGTCAACCTTTCTTTCAAAGTGGTTGACAAAGTCATTTGCAGAGAGGGAGGGGGAGGTGGTGGATGATTAAGAAGGGAGAAGGTAGAAAAGATTTTCCCAGGGTTAGAGGCAGAAACTTTCTATCAGTGGAAGGATGATTGGTCCTCTGGAAATTTAGTTTTCCTCCATTTTTGCTCAGCTGCCCGCAGTCACTCCGCCATGGAGCAGGAGGGGAGGGCCGAGCAGGAGGAGAGGGCTGAGCCAGCCGGGAGGAAAGGGTACAGTGAGAGTCATAGGATGCGGAAAGGGAGGAGACTAAGGTCAAAGAGGCAGGATCAGGAGACCGGAAGGAAAAGGATTTAGCAGAAGGGAGAGATGATAGGATAGACGAGGAGAGAGTGGTGGAAGAGAGAGGGCGAAGAATGCAACGGTACATAACCATCTGGGGAGTTTAGGTGGACTAGGTAGGTAGGGTTGGAGGAGAGAAGGAGAGATTTATTTTATTTTTATGGGGTGATCAGAGACATGGAGGGGGGTTGCAATGAGATTAGTAGGCTAACAGCCTCTAGTAAATTAGGTCAAGCACATTGCCTGCCTTGTGAGTGGGAGGGGACTGGGAAAGGCTGAGGTCAAAAGAGTAAAGGAGTGAAAATAAATTAATTGAAGTCAGGCGTCTGGAGGTTGAAGTCACCCAGTACAATGAGTGGCGAGCCATCGTCAGGAAATTAGTTTATCAAGGTGTCAAGCTCATTGAAGAACTCTCCAAGGGCACCAGAGTTGTATACTAGAATCAATGAGTTAGCCAGATAACTTGTGGTTGTTGAGTCAATTGGACCATGCCCATTTCAAGCTTATCTTTCTCAAAAAATAAGTTTAAAAAAATATAATTTATTGATCCTGCTTTGTAGTATACCCCTCTGGTGGGAGATAGATGACGACAATGTTAAGCTTGAGTGGACAAGTGACAGTGGCAGCATGGAATTCAAATGAGGAGATGGACAGGTGAGTGGGAAAATAAAACATCTCAACTTAGGAGAAATGAGTATACCTGTCCCACCATCGCCACAACCAGATGCTCTAGGACTATGAGAGAACACATAGGCAGAAGACGAAATAGCGGTATTCTCTGGGGTAATCCATGTCTCCGTCAGGGTCACAAAGTGTAGGGACTGAAGGACAACATAGGCTGAGACTCAGCACTGATTGTTGATTGCCTAGCATAGGTGAAGATACCCTCCAACAGACACACCCACCAATTATCACAAAGCTACTACTCAAATTGACCTGAAACCAGTTCAAGTCAATGTTTCAACACTTCACAGCCATAAGTACTGAGCATTCAGCAGTTCAAACAGCAATGATTTGGTAGGCTACTTGGTAGAGGGACAGCACTTAACTAATTGCCCTAGCCAGACTATACCACCAACAAGTTATTGAAAGAAAAAAAGGTACTTAGGCTACTCTTGCAGAGATTAGTTGTCTTCCAAGGCTGTAGAGGAGGCACAGCCTCTCCACTTTGTCTGATTTGCATTGTACAGTAACTGGACTTTAACTCCCGCTCTGTGTATGATCTTTCCACTGCTGTCATTCAGATTAGGTTGGGTTAACATTTTCCATGCCACAGTTGCCAAACCATACTCGAACACCAGTGGCATTGTTGCTTTGAAATATTTACCTCGTATCTAGGATACATAGCATGGTCACACTGGCAGGAGCAGGGATTGGGAGGGGACTTTTGCAAAGGTTCAGAGCTTTTTAGTCAACGGTCTTGTGCCAACCACAACCACTGGCAAATGAGGGTAGCTGCTAAAGTTGACGCCAACATCTGTAGCATTATGGCAGCCAGTCAACTTTGGGAGCTATGCCCCATTATGGGAGGAATAGGAGGTTGTTCTCCCTCCACGAAAGCACAAATAAAAATGTCTTATTCATCAGAAAATGAACAGTAGGTCTTGATTAGAATATGATATTTGTCCACAAGCATGAATTGTCAATTTGTTTAGTGAACCGTGTTCATTCAATATTTTCAACTGAGAAGAAAATAATTATTCCGAAAAATCTTGATTTGTGAGCCTTGGTCAACTTGTCTTTTCATTAGTCTTCACAATACTCTAATTTGCTGGGCCTCGTTAAGGAATATAACATTATTGGCCACAATATGTCTTCATATGCTTAGCTTCATGTCCACTCCTTGCCCCAGGGAGCAGCCGATCTTCAGCGCCAGGGCCCATGTGTTCCAGATCGACCCGAACACCAAGAGGAATTGGATCCCCGCCAGCAAGCATGCCGTCACCGTCTCCTTCTTCTACGACGCCAACAGGAACGTGTACCGCATCATCAGCGTGGGCGGTACCAAGGTGAGCCAGGCAGCTGTGCTGTCCTGTACAGTGCCTCTCTGGAACATGAATGCAGGCCACAGTTAGAGTATGTGAACGTGTGTTCTTGTTGAAAGCTGTGATTTAGGGAAACATCCTTCTCGAGGGATTTTTGTAGGACTTTGTGGGATGGTTAAAAATATGGTCTCCATAGGTGCGTTCAGTTCACAATCATTTGCTTCTAGCCAATATAGCAATTTACAGTTTGGCAAAGAGAGTAGCTAAAGATGGGTGTGGTATGTGTGGCAGATCAGCATTGGCCTGTTTTTTTTGCTGTACTCTTATTTATCCTTCCATCTCCAAAGACCTTGGTTGTTCACAATGCTGAACATAAAAGCAGTGGTTGTAGGTTTTTATTAATTTAAAACCAATTTAGCCATTGTTGAGTCAATAAGAACGGGAATGTGAACAGAAACTCAATGTCACCAAACAGCGCTCACAAGATCAATGCACCTATTCCTCACAAGCTTTGGATTTAGATTCCTTATGCCGCTCTGTAATCTATCTGATCTCCTCTTAACACCTCTGGTCTGACCCACATTCCCCATTCCCAGCAGATCCTGTGGTCAGCAACCTAATTCCACCCATCTTGTGACTGGCAACGTGGTAATCTTTTGTACCATGTCATGTGAAACATGTTGCCCCTGACTCTTGTAATTGTTTGTTTTAAAAGCTCCTCTTCTTTAAGCTTCCCTTGCCCTTGGATTCTGGGGTTTTTAGTCAGTTATATTATAGTAATTCTGTAGCTGATGCAGAAGTTTATAAATAGGTCTGCTTAATGTGTTTTCTCATGTGACGTGAAACCAAATGAGGGGCTGTAGCCTCTTCCCTGCACTGCCTGATGCAATGTTTGTTAATCTGTTGAAAGGGTAGGCCAGTCAAATAAATGCCATTTGTTTGTTACATCCTGAATGCAAACCATTGATTGCCATGCACCCACGGTCCAATCTGAAAAATGGACGTTATCAGAATAAACTCAAAATATCTTTCCAAAGGAGCTAACAGTTTACAGAAATAAGATGTGTGTATATAGGGCTGTTTCGGTGACCGTATTACCGCCACACTGGTGGTCACGAGTCATGAAGGCAGTCAAATTCGACGTGACCGTTTAGTCTCAGTAATTAGGCTTCTCCAAGCTCTGATGCTGCTTCTGGTCATTAGAAGCCTACAAAACTTGCTAAATGCCTGGTACTCAGCACTCTATTGTCCCTCTAATCACTCTGACATCAATGCAAATGTATTCAAAAATCTAATCAAACACTTAATGAGAGCCCATGAGCTCCTGTTGCGCAACATTTCTAAAGGCTATATAATTGCGTGAGAAAACAGAGTGATGGCAGCTAATAAAAAGAGGAGGATCCTATCAGCTTTCTATAGGCTTACTATATTTATTTCTCTACTTTCCTAATATTAAGCACATTGATTTGATTTACAACAGGAGTATAGCCTACCTGGCTGGCATGAAAATAAACCACGGGGAAAAGCGTCCATTCACTATTTAAGTGCGTAGATGACATCAATTTTTTCCCGCTGCCCCTGTTTCGATACTGGTGCATGATAAAGGTCCATTCTAAATCAAAACAAATATCACACATATATTATTTAGTATATGTAAAGACAAGATTAAATCAATAATAGTCTGATGGGTCACAATATTAGCCTATCACTTGTGAATTATATATTGTCACTTGTGAATGATGCCCAGCATAAGAAACAATGCCTTTTTTTTGCGACTTGTTCTAATTATAGTCTCACACCTCATGTAGCCTAGCCCATAGGCCTATATGTTTTAATAAGGTTTGTATCACAACTAATGTGGCCAAATAACTTCTTAAAATTAAGCACATTAATCCACTTTACAAGGGGTGTAGAGCCTAACTGGCATATATGAGCAGCGCTTGAGTTTCAAGTTTGGGGAAGATTATTTTCACCATAAAAATGCACCTTTATAATAAAAGCTTACATGCATAATTGCATTTGCGGTCACTTTTGATAATGGTGTTTTCTGCTAATGGAATATTCGCGCTTATAGCCTACTACCATGTGCGCATTGCTGCACTTATAATGTGAAGACATACCCTAATAGTTTATCAACATTTTAAGCTAAACGTTCTGATCTTTTGCATCAACCACATTGCATCCCAAAGTTTTTTTTATGCTAGTGGTTGTATTAATTTAGGATCTATCGCATCCCACAACTGTCCCAGACTATGTTTGGAATATTTATTTCTCACACAGAATAGAATAGGTCGACTTTTGTACTATGGGGGATAGTAGATTAACATAGGCTAGTGATTCAAAATGCACCTTGGAATTGGATAAGGACGCATGCAGTTGCGTCCCGGATGTGTCTGTCTTCACTTGTAGCCTGTGAGAAAGACCTGATCACGTGATGGAGAGTGGTGTGAGTGAGAGACGCTTCGGATTGCGCAGCACACTCAGGGAGAAGGGTACAATGCAGCACTCCGGGACGCAAAATGCATGGATTATTTTAGGGTGCCTTACGGCCACAAAGGAGATGCCACGGTGAAATTTGAGGCATTATCAATTGCTTGTCAAATTGTGAATGAGAGACTATTGGTGTGTACAGCCTGTGAAAAAAAAAAAACAAATCAGAGCTCATGCCTTTCAAGCGACTTTTTTAGTCTCATCATGCAGCCTTACAATGTATAAAAAATCTAAACATATAGCCCAACGTTTGTAGAACAACTACAGTTACATGAATAACTCTAAATTAAGCATATACAGTGGGGGGGAAAAGTATTTAGTCAGCCACCAATTGTGCATGTTCTCCCACTTAAAAAGATGAGAGGCCTGTAATTTTCATCATAGGTACACGTCAACTATGACAGACAAAATGAGAAAGAAAATCCAGAAAATCACATTGTAGGATTTTTAATGAATTTATTTGCAAATTATGGTGGAAAATAAGTATTTGGTCAATAACAAAAGTTTTCTCAATACTTTGTTATATACCCTTTGTTGGCAATGACACAGGTCAAACGTTTTCTGTAAGTCTTCACAAGGTTTTCACACACTGTTGCTGGTATTTTGGCCCATTCCTCCATGCAGATCTCCTCTAGAACAGTGATGTTTTGGGGCTGTCGCTGGGCAACATGGACTTTCAACTCCCTCCAAAGATTTTCTATGGGGTTGAAATCTGAAGATTGGCTAGGCCACTCCAGGACCTTGAAATGCTTCTTACGAAGCCACTCCTTCGTTGCCCGGGCGGTGTGTTTTGGGATCATTGTCATGCTGAAAGACCCAGCCACGTTTCATCTTCAATGCCCTTGCTGATGGAAGGAGGTTTTCACTCAAAATCTCACGATACATGGCCCCATTCATTCTTTCCTTTACACGGATCAGTCGTCCTGGTCCCTTTGCAGAAAAACAGCCCCAAAGCATGATGTTTCCACCCCCATGCTTCACAGTAGGTATGGTGTTCTTTGGATGCAACTCAGCATTCTTTGTCCTCCAAACACGACGAGTTGAGTTATTACCAAAAAGTTCTATTTTGGTTTCATCTGACCATATGACATTCTCCCAATCCTCTTCTGGATCATCCAAATGCACTCTAGCAAACTTCAGACGGGCCAGGACATGTACTGGCTTAAGCAGGGGGACACGTCTGGCACTGCAGGATTTGAGTCCCTGGCGGCGTAGTGTATTACTGATGGTAGGCTTTGTTACTTTGGTCCCAGCTCTCTGCAGGTCATTCGCTAGGTCCCCCCGTGTGGTTCTGGGATTTTTGCTCACCGTTCTTGTGATCATTTTGACCCCACGGGGTGAGATCTTGCGTGGAGCCCCAGATCGAGGGAGATTATCAGTGGTCTTGTATGTCTTCCATTTCCTAATAATTGCTCCCACAGTTGATTTCTTCAAACCAAGCTGCTTACCTATTGCAGATTCAGTCTTCCCAGCCTGGTGCAGGTCTACAATTTTGTTTCTGGTGTCCTTTGACAGCTCTTTGGTCTTGGCCATAGTGGAGTTTGGAGTGTGACTGTTTGAGGTTGTGGACAGGTGTCTTTTATACTGATAACAAGTTCAAACAGGTGCCATTAATACAGGTAACGAGTGGAGGACAGAGGAGCCTCTTAAAGAAGAAGTTACAGGTCTGTGAGAGCCAGAAATCTTGCTTGTTTGTAGGTGACCAAATACTTATTTTCCACCATAATTTGCAAATAAATTCATTAAAAATACTACAATGTGATTTTCTGGGAAAAAAAATCTCAATTTGTCTGTCATAGTTGACGTGTACCTATGATGAAAATTACAGGCCTCTCTCATCTTTTTAAGTGGGAGAACTTGCACAATTGGTGGCTGACTAAATACTTTTTTCCCCACTGTATTTCTTTAACTGCTCAACACAGAATAGCCGCATGTGCGTACTCCCTCAAATCGTTTGGAGAAAATATTTATATTTTATTCAGCTTTGTTCAATTGTATTCTTCATACTATAAAATAATGCCACGGAATTATAAGCAAATCTTGTAGGCTAAATGAGCTAGTGTAGCCCACAACCATTTGGCATAGCCACATCAGGACCAAACATAAGGACAACTCAGAGTATGCTATTCTTTTCTTCTGAAATAGACTACATTTTCTTCATATCATGTTTCTTTAGACCTGTCTAAAGTAAATAATGGATTTATTGTGAAGGTGTAGGCTAGATTACATGGATTTATTATACTTTTTTAAATGGTTTGTAGGCTATGTGTGGAAGCCAGGAGATGCTAAATGTGTTCATGTTAATTAACGTTCAATTACCGTGAGACCGACAGTTATTTTCTTGACAATATCCGGCTGATGAAATTTCCGTGATTGCCACAGCCCTATGTGTATAACCATCTGTTTGTACAACGCATTTGAAACCATCTATTTGGATATTCTGCAAAGGCAAACAGATGCTCCCGTTACGATCCCAGATGTTTCACTTCTCTTTATTCAAAGTCTGAGAAAACAAGTCCTCGCTTTGGCACAAACATGAAAAATAATTTGTTGTACATTATATATTTTGATGTTCATCAGATGAGGTGAGGAACTACTACTGCAGTAAGTAATGTCATCCTCCATGTCCTCCTCCCTCTATCCGCAGGCCATAATCAACTGCACCATTACACCCAGCATGACGTTCACCAGGACCTCGCAGAAGTTTGGCCAATGGGCGGACAGCAGGGCCAACACGGTCTACGGCCTGGGCTTCGCTACAGAGCAGCAGCTGCATCAGGTGAAGATCTTCTAACTTCCCACCACATAAGGGTCTGGCATCACAAAATAATGAAGTTGTTGAATTATGGACAACTAATTTATCTTGTACCATGATCATTTTAGGCACATTATCCAACGCTTACTGCAATGTCAAACTAAATGCATTTCACTCTTGCCTGTCCTCAGTTTTCTGAACGGTTTAAGGAGGTGAAAGAGGCTGCCCGTCTTGCATGTGAAAAGTCCCAGGATAAGATGGAGTTGGCCAACACTGCCCTCAGCATTGCTGCTCCACAGGTGAGCTCAGACAAAATGCCTCAGTGCCTTTTAGAAATACATCAGGGATTTTAATTTTATATAGCGCTCAGTTATTCCACGACCATTTCAAATGCTTTTAAGAGAAAAGCCTCTGAGGAGGAACTTTTGAGAGTCTGTGGAACTCCTGCGGTACACATCGAGGTACTGCTATCTCCCTGGCCTTTCTGCGGGCTGCGAAAGAGAAAAGGGAAGGAGGAAGAGATGGGTCATTTGTCTCTGAGGAAAGTGAGAGGAAATTAGAACTAGGGCGACGGTAAAATTATCCCATGCAGCCCAGTGCTCTGCCTGGCTGGCTGTCTGCTCACTGCAGAAGCCTCTGAAATGATTTAATTGCATTGATCAATAGGCTATTTTGGTTATGGTGGTCACATGTTAACAAAATGTGTAATATACAGCAGGGGATCTCAAATGTTTTGGGGCCTGGGAGCCCTTTTGTGATAGCAAATTCATCAGGGACTCCTTCGTAATCAGAACACAACTCGAGTGAGATAAAAAAAAAATTTTAAAGGGCATACAAGGAGTTTTACTATGACTTCGGCAGTGCATGGCTGGACGAATCAAGTCTCGGGAAGGAACATTTTAAAGGCCAGCCTCTTGGCATCGGAGAGAACATTTAGCAGTTTTCAAGCAAATTTCCTGTAATTCTATACATTTTGTCATGGGGCAGAGTTTTTTTGTTGTTGTTGCAGCTTTAAAGCTAATATCCTGCAATTCTACAAATGTTTCCATGTGTCAGTTTTAAAGCTTAAAGATGGAATCTGGCTGCCCCACCACCGTTGTTATTGTTGCAGAGCTGAGGAATGATGTCCAAGGGGTAAAAACAGTGTTTGCAGTAACTTCTTTGTTACTTTCTTCTCACAAACCGATGTGTCAGTTTTACCATTAAGGATTCCAGCTTTAAATGACAGTGCATTTATGTTATTTATTTTTTACAAGGAATACAAGTCATGTTGAGAAATGTATAATTGGTGGAGTATTGTGATTAATAATATTACATTGTGTTGTATTTACACACTCTAAACTTATTCCACGGATCCCTTGGCTGAAATTTGATCTGTTGCTAACAATATTCCTTGAAAATATATGTGTGTGTGTGTGTGTGTGTGTGTGTATATATATATATATATATACACACACACACACACAGTACCAGTCAAAAGTTTGGACACACCTACTCATTCCAGGGTTTTTCTTTATTTTTTTTGTAGAATAATAGTGAAGACATCAAAACTATAAAATAACACATATGGAATCATGTAGTAACCAAAAAAGTGTTAAGCAATTCAAAATATATGTTATATTTGAGATTCTTCACTCTCCTTCTTGGTAAAATAGCCCTTACACAGCCTGGAGGTGTGTTGGGTCATTGTCCTTTTGAAAAACAAATGATAGTCCCACTAAGCCCAAACCAGATTGGATGGCGTATCACTGCAGAATGCTGTGGTAGCCAAGCTGGTTAAGTGTGCCTTGAATTCTAAATAAATCAGTGTCACCAGCAAAGCACCCCCACACCATAACACCACCTCCTCCATGCTTTACGGTGGGAAATACACATGTGGAGATCATCCGTTCACCCGCACCGCGTCTCACAAAGCCACAGCGGTTGGAACCAAAAATCTCCAATTTGGACACATTTCCACAGGTCTAAAGTCCATTGCTCGTGTTTCTTGGCCCAAGCAAGTCTCCTCTTATTATTGTTGTCCTTTAGTAGTGGTTTCTTCGCAGCAATTCGACCATGAAGGCCTGATTCACACAGTCCCCTCTGAACAGTTGATGTTGAGATGTGTCTGTTACTTGAACTCTGTGAAGCATTTATTTGGGCTGCAATTTCTGAGGCTGGTAACTGTAATGAACTTATCCTTGCAGAAGAGGTAACTCTGGGTCTTCCATTCCTGTGGGGTCCTCATGAGAGCCAGTTTCATCATAGCGCTTGATGGTTTTTGCGACTGCACTTGAAGAAACTTTAAAAGTTCTTGAAATGTTCCGTATTGACTGACCTTCATGTCTTAAAGTAATGAATGGACTGTTTTTTCTCTTTGCTTATTTGAGCTGTTCTTGCCATAATATGGACTTTACCAAATAGGGCTATCTTCTGTATACCCCCCCTACCTTGTCACAACACAACTGATTGGCTCAAACGCATTAAGAGTGAATGAAATTCCACAAATTAACTTTTAAAAAGGCACACCTGTTAATTGAAATGCATTCCAGGTGACTATCTCATGAAGCTGGTTGAGGGAATGCCAAGTGTGCAAAGCTGTCATCAAGGCAAAGGGTGGCTATTTGAAGAATCTCAAATATAACATTTATTTTGGTTTGTTTAACACTTCTTTGGTTACTACATGATTCCATATGTGTTATTTCATAGTTTTGATGTCTTCACTATTATTCTACAATGTAAAAAAATAGTAAAAATAAAGAAAAACCCTTGTGTGAGTAGGTGTGTCAACCTTTGACTGGTATATAGTGTGTGCATGTATGTGATGGCAGATTGAAACAAGGGTTCCTAACACACGCCAACCCATGTTTCCTCATGTTCCTTTGATTCTAGCTGGCTTGTGTTAGCTTGCTGTCTGTGAGTAGTATGCAGTGTGTATCTATGCAGTATTTTTGTCATCTTTTGAGATCTGGCTGCGGACCCCCTGCAGTACCTTCATGGACCCCCAGGGAACCCCTGATATACAGTATGAGATGCTCTGATATAAAGGATGTTAAATTGGTGTGTTCTTTATTCTCTTGCTTTCGGATGACTTTTCTCCAGTTCTCACAGGTAGGTCTCGTGTGTTTGATTTTCAACCTTCACCATTCACGTCTAAGAATGGCCAATTGTGGTACCATTCTGCTATGACCGAAGAATAGTCAATCAAACAGAAAATCTAGTGTCTTTGTCTTCGTGAGGTTGAGTTACTCAGAGTTTGATGAACATTACAGTTGCTCCTTAAACTGTTCTTGCTGCTGAAATTGATGTCCTTTTAACCCAGCTAACAATTCTTGGGAGAGAACGTTTTTGTAATGTTCCTGTAATGTTAGAATTTTTTTTGTTGCAGAAAACCTCCTGAGAACCTATTTAGCATGTTTTAGAGTTAGGAGAGAATTCCCTTGATGTCAAACAGAACATGGTTACCATGTTCTCAGTATATACAATATTAATGTTCTAGACACGTCTCATGGGGCGTTGCAAAAACATTAGTGTCCAGTTTTCTGAGGGTTAGGAGAGTATTCCATCAACATTACATTTTACATTTTAGTCATTTAGCAGACGCTCTTATCCAGAGCGACTTACAGTTAAGTGAGTGCATATATTTTCATACTGGCCCCCTGTGGGAATCGAACCCACAACCCTGGCGTTGCAAACGCCATGCTCTACCAACTGAGCTACATCCCTGTCGGCCATTCCCTCATTTGAAAGTTGAAAGAATAAACAAAAACATACAGACTAAATACTGTTCCCTGATTGAGGGAATGGAGGTACAACACAGCTATGGGGAGTTTGTGCGCTAGCGCCCCCTGAAGAACATTAGAATCACGCCTGACAAGCCCAATGAACCCTGTGCCTCACCGGAAGCCCTGTCTTCCACAGGTGATAAACCCAAGGCACGGATTCATTCCGTAAATTCAGTACCACTTTTCACCAAGGCCAGAACTGGGCGGTGCGGGGTCAAACAGGTTATAGTCATAACTACGTTCCATTTCAGTCGGTCAACTTGATACAACAAAGCTATGGGGATATGAAACTGCCTTCGGCAGACCACCCAGAGTTCCAACCTGACAGGAAAACCTGCGGTACCCGGGTATTGCGCAATCTGTGCACTGCCTAATGACACAGGGCATGTAACCTCCGCTGCTCCTCAGACGCAAACGGAGGAGGCGAAAAGGGAAAAAGCTAGAGACCTGTAGGACATAGTCATGACCTTAGGGGCGAAGGCCGCATTAAGACGTACCATCACCTTAGAGTCGCCAAGGGCGAACTGAGTACAGGAGGGCTGAACGGATAACACGTGGAGATCCACAGACCCCATTGGTTCAAAGGGGGCCCTCATACAGCACAACCAAATTCCGAGTGGGTGCAATAGGTTTAGAAACCAGCCTAAGACGGCGTACACCCCTGGAATGGCACTATTAAATCCCACATGGCACGCTGAAATAGCTGCCATAAACACCTTCAGGGTGGAGAATGAACAGCCCTGCTCGGAAAGCCCCTTAAGGAACATTAAAATGTCCACCACAGAGCTCTGAAAAGGAACAATTCCTTTATTTTGGCACCAAAGCTTGAACGCCCACCACTTATATCTATACAACCTTGTCGGGGAGGGTGCCCTTGTGGACGGTATAGTAGCAATAACGTTCAGAGGTAAACCCCTTGACATCAGATTGGACCTTTCAGGGGCCAAGCCCACAGATTCCAAATCTCCGGCCGCGGGTGCCAGACCTGTTGCCAAGGGTCCCCGCCTAAAGGCAAATATTTTCCACGAACCAGGGTTGTTTGGGCCAACGGGAGCCATAAGGATCAACGACCCACCCTCCCTATCGTGGGCTGAATCAGGTCCACAGGGGGAAATACGTAAAGGAGGTTCGAGGCCACTGGTGCGCAAGAGCATCTGTTCCCAATGGAGCATTCAGGTCCCTTTATTGAGAAAAACAACCAATAATGTGCGTTTTCTCGCGATGCATAAAGATCAATGTTGGCCCTGCTCGGGGAGATTAATCACACGGAGCGAGGGAAAGTGCACTGCGCTCCACAGCAGTTGGGAGCGAGCCAAGGATAAGAGGGCACCCCTCCCTGTCTGTTGATGTATGCCACGACTGTCCTGCTGTCGGTCCTCACCAGCATATGCCGGCCTGCCAACAATGTGAGAAAGCGTTTGAGTGCTACAGTGGGGAAAAAAAGTATTTAGTCAGCCACCAATTGTGCAAGTTCTCCCACTTAAAAAGATGAGAGAGGCCTGTAATTTTCATCATAGGTACACGTCAACTATGACAGACAAATTGAGGAAAAAAATCCAGAAAATCACATTGTAGGATTTTTTATGAATTTATTTGCAAATGATGGTGGAAAATAAGTATTTGGTCACCTACAAACAAGCACGATTTCTGGCTCTCACAGACCTGTAACAACTTCTTTAAGAGGCTCCTCTGTCCTCCACTCGTTACCTGTATTAATGGCACCTGTTTAAACTTGTTATCAGTATAAAAGACACCTGTCCACAACCTCAAACAGTCACACTCCAAACTCCACTATGGCCAAGACCAAAGAGCTGTCAAAGGACACCAGAAACAAAATTGTAGACCTGCACCAGGCTGAGAAGACTGAATCTGCAATAGGTAAGCAGCTTGGTTTGAAGAAATCAACTGTGGGAGCAATTATTAGGAAATGGAAGACATACAAGACCACTGATAATCTCCCTCGATCTGGGGCTCCACGCAAGATCTCACCCCGTGGGGTCAAAATTATCACAATAACGGTGAGCAAAAATCCCAGAACCACACGGGGGGACCTAGTGAATGACCTGCAGAGAGATGGGACCAAAGTAACAAAGCCTACCATCAGTAACACACTACGCCGCCAGGGACTCAAATCCTGCAGTGCAAGACGTGTCCCCCTGCTTAAGCCAGTACATGTCCAGGCCCGTCTGAAGTTTGCTAGAGTGCATTTGGATGATCCAGAAGAGGATTGGGAGAATGTCATATGGTCAGATGAAACCAAAATAGAACTTTTTGGTAAAAACTCAACTCGTCGTGTTTGGAGGACAAAGAATGCTGAGTTGCATCCAAAGAACACCATACCTACTGTGAAGCATGGGGGTGGAAACATCATGCTTTGGGGCTGTTTTTCTGCAAAGGGACCAGAACGACTGATCCGTGTAAAGGAAAGAAGGAATGGGGCCATGTATCGTGAGATTTTGAGTGAAAACCTCCTTCCATCAGCAAGGGCATTGAAGATGAAATGTGGCTGGGTCTTTCAGCATGACAATGATCCCAAACACACCGCCCGGGCAACGAAGGAGTGGCTTCGTAAGAAGCATTTCAAGGTCCTGGAGTGGCCTAGCCAGTCTCCAGATCTCAACCCCATAGAAAATCTTTGGAGGGAGTTGAAAGTCCGTGTTGCCCAGCGACAGCCCCAAAACATCACTGCTCTAGAGGAGATCTGCATGGAGGAATGGGCCAAAATACCAGCAACAGTGTGTGAAAACTATGTGAAGACTTACAGAAAACGTTTGACCTGTGTCATTGCCAACAAAGGGTATATATATAACAAAGTATTGAGAAACTTTTGTTATTGACCAAATACTTATTTTCCACCATAATTTGCAAATAAATTCATTAAAAATCCTACAATGTGATTTTCCGGATTTGTTTTCTCATTTTGTCTGTCATAGTTTACGTGTACCTATGATGAAAATTACAGGCCTCTCTCATCTCTCTAAGTGGGAGAACTTGCACAATTGGTGGCTGACTAAATACTTTTTTTCCCCACTGTATGTACACTGTCAAAAGCTCCAGGTAATTGATGTGCACCGGGTTTTGCGACACTGTCCACAACCCCAGAATTGAACTGCCCTCGCACAGCGCACCCCACCCTCGGGGAGATGCGTCTGTCTTTATCACCTTGCGGGATATAACTCGACCCACGGAGGTCCCCAGCAACAACAGGCATGGGTCCCTACTCTGAGCCAGCGCCTGTATGCATGATGGGGTGACCGGTTTCGGTGGCAATATGTGTCCAAGCGGGTGTCTACCACCGGAGAGGTCGCAACAGCCCGGGGGGAACCACGGTTATCATAGAAGCAATCATCCATAATAGTGTGACCTAGCCAAAATTGGGCCAAGCAAAATCGGAATCCGGCCTCCCTCTGCGTGGACAAGAACGCACGATTCTCGACTGAGCCTAACTCGAGACCCAGAAATGGAATGCGCTGAGATGGAGTTAAACAGCTCTTCTCTTGATTCACTATGAAACCCGGAGACTGAACATGGGAAACCAGCATGGATGTGTGTAACACAACCTGCTCCCTCGACTCTGCTACCATCAGCCCCATACACCACATAGGTGCCAAACCCACATCCACAACTTTGGTGAAAGTTTTAAGCGAGAGGGAACGCACGGAAAGGAGGACCAGAAACTTGTACGCTACAGCCTCAAAATGGAACCTCAGGAACTTTCTGTGATATGTGGCCACGTGAAATTATGCGTCATTCAGGTCGATGGAGGTGAACCAATCGCCCGGGCGCACTGACTGTAATAACCGGCTGTTCCTGAGCATTCTGAATTTGTAGACCCTGAAGTGCTTGTTTAGGGCACGCAGGTCTAAAATAGGACGCAAATTCCCGTCCCTTCTGGGAACCAGGAAATACCACCTGTACCAGCCGTCCTGGGCCTCTGACATAAGAACCACTCTGACAAAAACGAGTGGGATGCACAACTAATTGTAGCCTGTACCCCAACGTCACTGTTCGCATATTCCAGGACGACGCTGCGCACGCGCGCCATTAGTCGACATAGACAGCAAGTCTCCTGTAAAGTGCAATCTGAAGGGGTGGAACACCACCTTGTGGACTGGGGGAATATGGGTCTTTTTTCATTTCCACCATTCTCGACAACTGAGTGTCTGACTGTGGGTAAGGGACTCATTTTTTATTCTGCTCACATGTGGAAGACCCAACACCTGTGAACACCATGGAACTTGGGGTAGAAACAATGTGTTTAAGGGCCGATGTTTGCCTAAAGCATGGTCCACTCTGGGTTCCGGTGCTTAGCCTACCAGTGACGAACCCCCGATTGGCCATTCCACTTGGGGGTACTGTTGTCAGAGCGAACATCTGGGGGAGGGGGGCAAGGGGGGACCCCAGCCTGTGCCACCTCCCCTCTCATTGCACTAGGTGCGTGGGGGCTGCACAAATTAAAAATAAACCCAGAAAGAAATGTATCATGGAGGTTATCATGCCCACCAGTCATAGCTACCGGTGACACTTTGTAGCCCAGCTGGAAAACGGACAGAAAGCTCTGAAAAACTGACCCCATATGTGATAACAGACAGGGTGATTCCTAATTTAATCTAATTCCCAGGAACTAAATGTGTTGTGCAGGAGACAGACGGCTCACCTTGGAGTTCATATGAACCACAGAGACTGTGTGTGGGATAATAGCATGATTGCCAATTGCCTAACCTGTATCACTAAGTACCACATAGGAACCAGTGAGCTACAGGGAGGAATCAGCAATGAATCCCAGTAATAAGCCACCTTTGGGGGAGGGGTGCCCACTTGTGGACAGAGAGTGCCTGGGGAGCACGTTGTGCTTCCGTGATACTGTATAGCCCGCCTGAAGCCCAAACCTTTTATGGGCACAGGAGCTCCAGCAATGGCCGTACTGTTGTCACAGTACCGTATGCTAGCCGACGTCAGCCATGCGGCTTCTCAGTCTTGCTAAGCCAGTAGCCAGCTAGCTGGCATTATCCCCGCATGCTAGCACTAGCCAAGCCCGCTGCCAGCACAGAGTTAGCCAAAGAAAAATGTGTGGCACGGTCCGTTTAGAATAACCAAGTCTAGATAGAGAGGTAAACGGTGCCTGACCAAGGCAGACACAGGCGGCAGGGAGTGCGCACCGACCCGGCCGCCCTGTCCCTTCAAGTCGCCTACCTTAGCAGGTAATGGAGCACACAGCAACCGGGTTTAGCTAGGGCAGCTTTCGGATGCCTCAGTCCAGGCAGACAAGACATTTGATCCGACCAAAGCCCCAATTCATTCCCCGGGTCCCGTAACTCAGAATTCCACGTTTGCCAAGGGAACCTGCATGCACCATAGACTAGGGGAACAGTGCCAGCCATGGGCAAACCACTGTTACTGACACCGTCCCTTCGTCTCGCACACAAGCTGACCCGAGTGGGGGCAGTCGGAGCATGCAACGCGCAGAACAAAACGTGAGTATAGCCTTCGTCGTTTTGGTCGCGTTAGCCAGGCTAAACAAGCAGAAGAATAACTAACAGAATCACAAAACTAGTTACAAAGCTTTAACACACAACGTCCAGAAGGATGAGCACGCCCTCCTTAAGTGGAACAGTTAAGTTGGAGCAAAGCCTGATAGATTTCGCGTTACCATGTTTATTTTAAAGAATGCGTGAAATTGTTCTGCTCAGCTCGAGGTGAAGAGAGGAAGAATTTAAGGAATTAATCAGTGCCTTGGGTTTATCACCTGTGGAAGGCGGGGCTTCCGGTGAGGCACAGGGTTCATTGGGCTTGTCAGGCGTGATTCTTATGTTCTTCAGTAAAGGGTGCAAGCGCGTGCGAACTCCCCATAGATGTGATGTACTGAGTTGACCGACTGAAAGAGAACCAGCACTGTACCCCCCAGGACTTTGCCTTTGGTATTGGTTTAAGGTGTATTATTTATGTTGTGTTGTGTGTTAGGACCTCAGTGATGAGCTCCAGTCGCCGCCGGTGATGTGTGTGAACGGTCCTGAGGACAAGATGTTCCGCAGCCAAAGCGCAGACTTCACACTGTCTTCTGAGAAGGAGCGCATTAAAAAGATGCTTTCTGAAGGGTAACCCACTTATACACACTCTTATCCTCAAAGTTTCACTCAAGCCAGGGTTTGTTTCATTGTCTGAAAGTACACAGAATGTTTTGTGGAAATGTTCTTGGTCTCAAACTTGAATGTTTCCATTTTATAAGGTAAGATATTGGTCTGGATCTCAAAGGTTCACACACAAAAGCAGCACTTTGGCAAAGAGGATTTTCTTGGAATAAGCCATAGTCGTTGCTTTAGTTATGATTACCTGTTTTGATGACATTTTCCCCATTTGAATAGAGCTGTTTATGGGACACATGGTCCAAACAAGAGCAAGGGGAGTGGGTCAAAGCTAATGTGCTGACTCACACAAAGAGAGAGAAGGATATTACCCTGCTATTCAGTCGCCCATTCTACTCACTCTGCTTCTGTCCCTGTTGTCCATTATCGCTACACAAGGCTACTTTTATGGTTGCTATGGTGAGTTGCTACGATTGGATAATCCTTAGCTTTCTAATGGTAAAATTACATGGCATCTAAGGGCACAAGGATCATGAAGCAGGAACATATTTAATGGACCAATTTTACAAATGTACCCAAGAGTTGGAAAAGTACGGACACTCTTGGTTGCCAAGCTTTATCATTAAGCCCTTCTCCACCATGTAGTCCAAATCTGTTCCATTCCTGAGAGGTCAGAGGATGTTTGTCTGAGGTCTCGAACGATGTCTTACAGGTCTATCTGCGAGATGAACCTGGAGGCAGAGCTCTTCACCCTGCAGGACAGTAACTCCAAGCTGGTGGCGGCGCTACATGAAGCTAACAATAACGTAGAGCAGTGGAAGAAGCAGCTAGTTGCCTACCAGGAGGAGACGGAGAGGCTACGAGACCAGGTGAGTGTTGTCATGATGAAAGATCCACCAGATCACTTTACTTTCTTTGACATAGAACTATGGACGCCATGTCAGATGGGTGAATCTATTTGAATTCAATCACTTTTTGACAGAATCCCTTTTGATTCAAACAAAACGTTCCATACGTGTTTGCCCGTGGAAGAAGTGGTCAGAAAGTTACTTTTTGGACCTGAATTCCAAAACATTAAGGAGATCAAGGTGCTCAAAGTTGACCCATTTTGCATAACCCACCATACCGTGAGATATCATGTGTTCCTCACTGGAAAAGATAAACGGTTGAGTTTGATATCATTTAAAAGCTTATACACAGGGTTGTCAAACTATTTTATAGTTTCTTGATTTAAAAAAACAACAATAGTATGTCATTTTTTTTTTTACCTTTAACATCAATTATCTAAATATGCATAAACATAAAATTTTAGCAAACAGTGAGGGAAAAAAGTATTTGATCCCCTGCTGATTTTGTACGTTTGCCCACTGACAAAGAAATGATCAGTCTATAACTTTAATGGTAGGTTTTTTTGAACAGTGAGAGACAGAATAACAACAAAACAATCCAGAAAAACGCATGTCAAAAATATTATAAATTGATTTGCATTTTAATGAGGTAAATGAGTATTTGACCCCCTCTCAATCAGAAAGATTTCTGGCTCCCAGGTGTCTTTTATACAGGTAACGAGCTGAGATTAGGAGCACACTCTTAAAGGGAGTGCTCCTAATCTCAGTTTGTTACCTGTATAAAAGACACCTGTCCACACAAGCAATCAATCAATCAGATTCCAAACTCTCCACCATGGCCAAGACCAAAGAGCTCTCCAAGGATGTCAGGGACAAGATTGTAGACTTACACAAGGCTGGAATGGGCTACAAGACCATCGCCAAGCAGCTTGGTGAGAAGGTGACAACACTTGGTGCGATTATTCGCAAATGGAAGAAACACAAAATAACTGTCAATCTCCCTCGGCCTGGGGTTCCATGCAAGATCTCACCTCGTGGAGTTGCAATGATCATGAGAACGGTGAGGAATCAGCCCAGAACTACACGGGAGGATCTTGTCAATGATCTCAAAGCAGCTGGGACCATAGTCAACAAGAAAACAATTGGTAACACACTATGCTGTGAAGGACTGAGATCCTGCAGCGCCCGCAAGGTCCCCCTGCTCAAGAAAGCACATATACAGGGCCTTCTGAAGTTTGCCAATGAACATCTGAATGATTCAGAGGAGAACTGGGTGAAGGTGTTGTGGTCAGATGAGACCAAAATCGAGCTCTTTGGCATCAACTCAACTCTCCGTGTTTGGAGGAGGAGGAATGCTGCTTATGACCCCAAGAACACCATCCCCACCATCAAACATGGAGATGGAAACATTATGCTTTGGGGGTGTTTTTCTGCTAAGGGGGCAGGACAACTTCACCACATCAAAGGGACGCTAGACAGGGCCATGTACCGTAAAATCTTGGATGAGAACCTCCTTCCCTCAGCCAGGGCATTAAAAATGGGTCATGGATGGGTATTCCAGCATGACAATGACCCAAAACACACGGCCAAGGCAACAAAGGAGTGGCTCAAGAAGAAGCACATTAAGGTCCTGGAGTGGCCTAGCCAGTCTCCAGACCTTAATCCCATAGAAAATCTGTGGAGGGAGCTGAAGGTTCGAGTTGCCAAACGTCAGCCTCGAAACCTTAATGACTTGGAGAAGATCTGCAAAGAGGAGTGGGACAAAATCCCTCCTGAGATGTGTGCAAACCTGGTGGCCAACTACAAGAAACGTCTGACCTCTGTGATTGCCAACAAGGGTTTTGCCACCAAGTACTAAGTCATGTTTTGCAGAGGGGTCAAATACTTATTTCCCACATGCGTTTTTCTGGATTTTTTTGTTGTTAATCTGTCTCTCACTGTTGAAATAAACCTACCATTAAAATTATAGACTGATCATGTCTTTGTCAGTGGGCAAACGTACAAAATCAGCAGGGGATCAAATACTTTTTTCCCTCACTGTATGTTGTAGCTTAGACCCTATTTTGTGGTTGTTGTGTTGTGCCCGCCATCGGTTGAGACACAACAAGCTCTTGAATACAGGGTGGGCTTCATTTCAATAATAGAAATAGAATTCATAGAATGGACCTATCCCTTTAGATCACTACAATTTATCTGGTACACCATTTAAATTGACATTTAATTGAAATTGTAACTTCTAATTACTACCACTGGCCACCCACCGTCGAATGTCAACTTAAATGGTAATGTATAATGTATTATCTATATTTCTATGATTTCAATAGGTTTCCTATGGAGGATTGACAGTATAATTTAAAACAACAGATATTCCCATTCAAGTCAACATTAAACATTCTGATGTCTGGACCTCCAACCATCTTTGTGGTACCATTTTAACATTTCAACTTTATTCCCATTTTAGTACATTTGTCAGCCAAAACATGATACCCACATTGTATTCAAGAGCATGTTGTCTCAACTGATGGCGGGCACAACACAAAAAGCTCAGATGTAAAATAGGGTCTAAGCTACAACATATGAAAATATTCTAAGTGTACGTGTTTTTAGATAATTGACATTAAAGGTTAAACATGATTTTTATTAAAAAACCTTTGACAACCATCGTTTGTAAGCTTTTAAATGATGAAGACATGGATGTGAGGTATGCATAAGGGGTCAACTTTGAGCACTTTTATCTCTTGAATGTTTTGGCATTCAGGTCCAAAAAGTCACTTTCTGAGCACTTCTATAATGGGCAAATGTGAAGTTTCCGTTCAAATCAAAAAGGGTGGTGTCAAAAAGTGATTTAAATTCAAATGGCTTTACCCATATACGTTTCCACAAATTCTGAGTGGACCAAATCTCAGTGGAATCCTGGGTAAATGTTAAAGTTCAACGTAATTATGCAAGTACATGCAACTGTCCAAGAAAACAGAATTGTGAAAAATACATTTGTAGAATGTAAAGATATGTTACATTTCCGGTTTTAGACTGTAAAGTACAATTAAATACATGACAATGATGAAGATTTTAAGTTATTTTCAGCCTCAGGAGGAATAGACAGGTGCCTAATACCTCACCTCACGTTCGCTCACTCCATAAATATCTCCATGCTGTGACCTTGAGGTCAGATTTTGATAGTTAAGGTCACATCTAATTATCAATGCCGGTGCTGTAAAATGCTGCACTCTATGTCGAGACAGAAGGCGGTGGGCCAGTGTAGCAGCAAAGCCTTGTTCAAACATGATCAGGTGATGAGTCACCACCGCTGATAATGACAGCCTTTGAATGTCTCCGGCATGCCCTTTCTCTGCCGGGGGAGGTCATATAGGTTTTGATTGGGTCATCGTTTTTCAGACAATGGGTTTTTGTTTTATGAAAGTCTTTGGAGAAAAGGGAAAGGACATGTCTGTTGGTAGCTCACTTTATCATCTTTTGACAACACTGGCCTTAAGAGGCTGCAGACCTTTCCCCTGAAGCTTTAATCAAGGTGTGTTGGTTGGTTTGGATTATTGGGCACCCACTGCAGTATGTTAAACATGCTCTTTGCATGTTCTCACTATTCCACTTATGTTTCTAAGGCAGGGGTGTCAAACTAATTTTGCCCGCGGGTCACATTCAGTCTTCACTGAGGTCCGGAGGGACGCACTAAAATTTGTGTTATATTTCCTCGCCGTCAAAATTAGCAAAACATTTTCCTCTATCCATAGATTTGGGAATGTTCTATGCTCCCTGACTATCCAGCTTTCGTTTCGGTGATTGATAGCAACCTGGAAAAGGGTGAAGAGACTGTATAAATCTAGATCCAATATAGTTCCGATTTGGTTTTAGTAATTTCAAATGTAGACTGAGGTAATTTTATTTATTTATTACTCAAACCACCCACGGTCCGCATTGAATGGGCTCGGGCCTGAAGTTTGACACGTGCTCTAAGGCAGGGTTTCCCTGTAGTCTATTTGTGAAAATATAAAAAATAACATTAGTAAGGGATCTTCGGCCATGGCCTCAACATATTTTGGGGTCCTTGACAGTAAAAAGTTTGAGTTGGTTAATTGAATCGGCTGTGTAGTGCTAGGGCAAAACCCAAAACATATTTTCATGTGCAGGCCTATAGGCTATAATATTACTATATTGAGTAGTACATAATACAAGGTTCATACAGACATTGGTATGTCAAGTTCAAGGACTTTTTCAAGCACTTAATTGTAATATTCAAAGACCTCAATTATATATATTGTTATAGGCATAATACAAAAAAGAATCCTCCCAAAAAGTATGCATTACCACTTTAAGAATAATGCATTTTATAGACCTTTCCAATGACATGCATTGGCATTCAAATTATTATTACATTCTAAAATATGTCAGAATAATGTGGACATTGCCTGAAATAGATTGGATGTGTAGCATTAATCTCACCCTCGCCATTTGAGATGTTGGGTTATTGTATCATGTTTTTAAAACAAGCAAGTGACCAAAAATGAGATTCCTATTGTACTGGAACGCTATGTATGAAAAGTTGAACCCAACATTCGATGTTGTCGTCCTCATAATAACCCCACATGGTTTTACAACAACAAGAACAACAGACTAGCGCAGCACCCATCAATTGAACAGCAGGAAACAAACGAACGCAGCTACATCTCTCACAAAACCTGATCATGAATTAAATCACTGTATAGAAAAAATATGATTGTCAGTGGCGGAGGACAGGAGAGACAGAAATATAGATCATATTACCCAACTCATGTTCTGCAGGTAGGCTACAATAAAACCAATATTTAATTTAGTGAAAAATAATAGGGCCACATTTTTCCATGGACCCCCCAGTTTCAAAATCCCTGCTCTAAGGCATTAGTCTGAATGCAGAGAATCTCATCCATCTGTGGCTTGGAGTACACATGGATTCCCATTTACCTCTTACCCATGAGATATATTTGAGAAATCATATAATACTTGTCTTAATGGATATTCTGTGACGACTAGACAAGTGGATGATGATACATTCTCCAATGCATCATTGCTAGCTGGGTCCAGTAAATGTAAAAGCTTGGTCTATTTTTTCCAGTTCTATGTTATCAATTTAAGGTATTTTCAGGGTCGCTGGCTGCTAAGTACTGAGTCTCTAGGGAATTTGCTGGCTCCAAGCCTGTTGATAAAATCCTTTGGATTCATCAACCTTTGGATTCGACCACTTCAATGGTTTGAGTGGTACAAGCTTATAATGTCTATCCCGAGAACATTGATCTCCACAATTGTTTTACCACTTCATGCAGTGTTTCGGTCGTCGTTTCACTGTACTGTGGATATACATCAATAATCCCAGAAGATTACGATCCTCCCCGTCTTTACATTAATCATCCTCTAAAAAGGCAAGCCATCCAGGTCTAGTGGACCAAGATCTCTCGCTTTCTCGATCTGAAGTGGGCGACCAGGTGGCTGAAAATGGTTCACATCTCCTGGGGGTGAAAGAGAGAGGGGTTTGTAGGACAGCGATATCCTACTTTCAATGCCCTAGTTAGGAGAAAAATGAAAAATCACCAGAGGGAGCTGGCAGCTATCCCCCCCCCCATGCTCTCCATACACAGTTAAAAATAATCCAGCCTCTCAAGGCTCTCCAAGTGGCAGAGACCTTTTCTCCTTTTAGTGTTGCTCCTATTTTACAGGCTGAGCTGACACTGCAGTGAGGTTTCAATTCCCAGTTACCTGATAATGGTGGTGTCTCGGTCCTTGGCTTGCGCAATGAAGGCAGCAGCCTTGGCCATGCTAAAGGGGTATGATGTATGCTGTGTGTATGATTTGAGACCACAATATCTGATACACACAGGAGGCATTATGCCTTTGACTTTATCATCCAATGAGAGATATTTACTTTATGTTAACCACTCTATACTATAGCTTTATTGTTTGCCAGTTTTTGCATTTTGGGTTTTGTACTGTTGTATATGTTTAGTGTGTATGACTTATTGTTTGGTTAGCAAGAAATGCTACTGTTTTGCATGTCTATGAACAGTATTCTCAGGGGGCACTGCTGTTACTTAATTGGGTTGAAGAGGGATAAGGGGGTTGGGGGGTGTATCCTGCGGAAATGATCCAGGTTGCAAGATGGCAGGGTTCCTCACTTTTCCTTGATAACCAAGGACATTTCTATCCAGAGAGGGGGGAAAGGATTTTGGATTTTCCTTTACCTCCAGTGTGGTAAAACAAAGCCAAAGCATGGGTTGCTCTCAGTAACCTGGAAATATCAGGATGTAGGATAGGACAAACCGAACAACTTCAATGACTAATTTCTCTAAACAGGGAGGAAAAAACATCACCAAATTCACTGAGAATACATTATATAGGATGAAGAAACAACACACCGAGCCGCAGCTCCATACTACTTGTCAGACACAGAGAACTGATACTATAAACTCGTTGTTGGAAGGGATTGGTGTGGGGTGTTGGGAGGTCAGTGGGTGGCTTTTGACCATTCCTTTGGATTCCTCATGTCTAACTCATTGTTAGAAAAAAGTTTGGTCCTAATCGGATATTAGGTACTATATTTATTGAATATTATATGTATCCTATACATTAAAATGGCCAATTTGGGTGCAATCATTTAGCTTAATTTCTCAGAGATCAAATTACATTTCAACCAAATAATGTTGCAGGAATGCTAATCTTATCTGTTTCCAACAACTGAAACCATTTCAGAACAATCTGAGATGGTATCTGTTTCCAACAACAGAAACCATTTCAGAACAATCTGAGATGGTATCTGTTTCCAACAACAGAAACCATTTCAGAACAATCTGAGATGATATCTGTTTCCAACAACAGAAACCATTTCAGAACAATCTGAGATGGTGGGTGTCAAAATCCTCTTTCTTGTGCTTTTTGAGGTGGAACGACCCTAATAAAGAGAAAGATTCTGAAGGATTTGAATGACCACAACTGGGAATACACTGTATAATGGCAGGTGCAAGCTGTAAAGACAAGGGATAATTCCTTTCTGGTCTCAAGTATAGTACCATTCATGAGTGCTTAGCAAGTAGATGTTAAATCTATAAAGTGTCAACAAGAAAGTTAGACCCAGGGGCCCTGTCACAATAACGTTCACACTCCCTCTAGAGATCTGACAGGAGCTGCAGTCTTAAGTCTATGCTAATTTCCCCTGGTCTTGACTGAAACCTATTGTATTTTGGCAGGTGGCTGATCTGGAGGCACATGGCGGACACGGCCCTAGTGACATGCTGAAAGATGAGCTGACTCGTTCTCTGGAGGAACTGGAGGCCCTGCTCAAGGCTAAAGATGAGGTCAGGGGGCAAGATACACACAGGGGAAAGAGGAGGTATTGTAGGTACATATGTATGCCCTCCGCAACAATTGTAGGGCTGTTCTTCTCATGCTTATGGATGAGGGTAGGGGGGGGCATTTCTAGTTCAGAACAAGGCTGAAAGTAGCTGGGGTTAAATGTTTAAAGGGGATTTTATGCAATTATAGATGGAGAACATAGTCTTATCACAAAGATGCCAATTGAGATCAAATGTTGTGGTCTTTAAATGGAAGGAAGAAAGGCCGATGTGAACCTGTACCTTCCTTTGTTTTGTGTTGCTGATGGCAAAGGTCCTGGGGCTAACTAGTGAATGATCATGTTTGTTTTCCAGGAAATCCACATTCTGCAGAACAAGAAAGAAGAATACCATGAGATGGAGCAGGAGAGAGAAGAGGCCATACATAGATTACAGGTAGACCTTCACACTAAAGAAGAAGGCGCGTTTGGTGAAACCTTGTATGAGCAAGAACAAGAGACTGAAAAACAACTTCTGTCTCAAGGCCATCAGACTGTTAAATAGCCATCACTAGCCGGCTACCACCCGGTTACTCAATCCTGCACCTTAGAGGCTGCTGCCCTATGTACATAGACATGGAATCACTGGTTTAATAATGGAGCACTATTCACTTTAATCATGTTTACATACAGCTTTATTCATTTCATATGTATATACTGTATTCTATTCTAATGTATTTTAGTCAATGCCACTCCGACATTGCTGGTCCTAATATTTATATATTTCTTAATTCCATTCTTTTACTTTTAGATTTGTGTGAATTGTTTGATACTACTGCACTGTTGGAGCTAGGAACACAAGCATTTCGCTACACCCGCAATAACATCTGCTAAACATGTGCATGTGACCAATACAATTTGATTTGAACAACAAGCAAGTAGGATGCACAAAGGGCAAATTACGACAGGTGAAATTGTCTTTCCTTTTCCCTATGTGGTTTCCCAGGAGATGGAGATGCGTAACCTAGAGCTGGAGCGGCGGGTGCAGAACGTGGAGCAGAACCTGGCCGCCTCCATGGAGGAGCGGGACCACACGGAGAGTGAAGTGCAGAGGGCCATCGAGATCCTGGACGTCAAGATCTTTGACCTGAACGACCTTCGGCAGAGCCTGGTCAAGCTCATTGACAAATAGTGTGAAAGAGAAGAGGATGGGTCTGTTAGGGATGGCCAATGGAAAGAGAATGAGCTGCTCCTCTCCTGCTATAAAGCACAACACCCCTTCTGCTGTGGGAAGATGGCTGCTCTGGGTCCTTACAGCAGCAGCATCACTGTACAGCTTGTTAAGCATAGGTTGTGGTGTTACCTAGGCAGTGTATCTGCTATTTCCAATGTTGTGCTGTAATTCATGCTGCTATCTTAACATTCAAAGGCAATGATCTAAGTGCTAGGCTGTTTATTTGAGATTAGGAATATTGTCAAGAATGAGAACAATAAGGGGATCATTAGGTGCTTGTAGATATAGTTTTCATACTTTTGAAATCAACTGATTTTATACAAACTTGGGAATGTAATGTTATAATGAGCAATGTGGATTATATATGTTAATTTCCAGTGAGATGAGATAAAAATGGTTTTAAGAGCTCTTTCAGCGCAACCAAACCATGTATTTGGAAAGAGGCAGTACACGACAATGCAGAAATTGATAGTGTTTGACAGCTATTACCACCTCATCAAATTAGCATACAACTCAAGATAATTGGTATTGAATAAGAGGAAAATAAAGAATTAGCCTAATTGACACATCTGAGCAAAGTTAGTGAAGGTGTCAGAAACCAAAAGATATGCCACTGCAGTAATAACAGTATGAGTAGTGAAGTCATTAACCTGTGACATGTTAACGATTCTTCTGTTGTGTGCAATTAAATTGAAAAAAAAAAAACATGGGATGAACGATCTTCAAAGAAACAATGATGCACTGTACTGTTTGACACGTCTGCTGTCTCTGGGTTTGAGTTGTAAATATAGAACTTTATTGGTACTATGGCATGCTGGTAATAGTATGAAGCATGAGGGTATCTTGAATTCCTGTGAATGTTCCAACTAAGAACTAAAGACACCAAAGAGAGTTGAGTTCTCAAAGTAAGAGCTTTCGAAAGCTTGACTCAGATTCTCGTGTTCATTGAATGTTAAATTAAAGCTAGATTAGTCCTGATAATTAGGTAGATTTAGGCGTTAAGAATTAATACATTTAAGTGCTTGCAATGTTTAAATTAAGATTTGAGCAGTTGTCTAGCAATTTGAGACTTGGTTATTTCCCTCAGCATCTACTAGTATTAACATCAGTAGATGGGGCTTGATGTTTAGCTTAGAGACAATACTATATGCCTTATGTGAGTGGTTCTATGTATTTGCATTTACTGTTAAAAGAATGCCTGATGAAATTGCAAGTTTAATTGCACATATATTTAGATCAAGGCACACAAGTGGAGCAAAATGTTGCATTATTTTTAATGAGCCTTGTTCAAAGAAAACTGTTTAAAAAATAAAGGACATGGATTAATCTGATAATTTCCCTTGTTCTGTATAGTAAATCAAGGTTTATGACAACACGAATGACAGTTCCCTTATTCCATTTAAATTTTATTATTGAAAACATTGACAAAGGATCAAAGAGGATGCTGGTTTACTTGAGCTTCTTCTTGGGGCGCAGGTTGCTGGTGTGCCCACACTTCTTCTTGCGGCAGTTGACTGCACGGGGGTGAAGACGTGCATAGCATCTGAAATGCAGAGTGCACCAACAAATGATAAGAACCCAATCTCCACACAGACATGGATCAGTAGATGGCTGTAACTTGGTGTACATTTTATTTTGTCTTCAGTTAATGGAAGCAGACATACTTGCGGCAGATCATTTTGTCACAGTTGTATTTCTGTGCCAGCTGTCTCAGGGAAGGCTCGATGATACCTCCTCTCAGACGCAGGACGAGATGAAGTGTGGACTCTGGAAAGCAAAGTGGTGACACGTTAACAAAATTACACATTTACGAAATTACAGTATTCTTTATTTCATTGTATTTGAAATAAAGGATCATCCACCCAGGATAGTCCACTAACAATTGCCACCGTTTTCCAGGGAGTATCACAAAATGTGTTTCTAAAAGTTGGACATTTGAACCGACATTGTATTTATATAAACATTTCAATCATGTAGGAGGCATTAAACCTGCTAATATGTGATTTGTGAATATTACAGAATGCATACCATTAGACAGAAGGTACACATGTTCCCATGGACTATGAAGATATGTGATATAAACCTCAATGTCATGATTAGGGTAAACACTGAAGACTGAGCAATTGTCCGTCATGTTCTGAACAAACAGTATTATCGATAATTGGATTTGTCAAGTAGTACCTTTCTGAATGTTGTAGTCTGACAATGTGCGGCCATCCTCCAACTGTTTGCCAGCAAAGATGAGTCGCTGTTGGTCAGGAGGAATACCTGAAAGGGTAAGCAGCAAACATGCATATGTTTGGCAGAAACCATCCACATGTACCCCAAATGAAGTAGTTGCCCATCTACAAAGATCTAATGTGGATTTTGTGTTCTACTAAGGTGGAAAGATTTGGAGGGTGAGCCTGGGCTCTCCAACCCTTTCCCTGGAGTGCTACCCTCCTGTAGGTTCCCTCCAACCCCAGTTGTAACTAAACTGATTCAGTTTTATCAACCAGTTAATTATTAGAATCAGGTGCGCTAGATTAGGGTTGGCGTGAAAACCTACAGGACAGTAGCTCTCCAAGAACAGGGTTGGAGAGCCCTGGTGTAAACTGATCCTAGATCTGTGCCAAGCAACTTTTGCTGAGATTGAGTTACCTTCTTTGTCTTGAATCTTGGCCTTCACATTCTCGATGGTGTCACTGGGTTCCACCTCAAGGGTGATGGTTTTACCCGTCAAGGTTTTCACAAAGATCTGCATATTTGATGGCTGTAGAAACAAGGTGGGTTGCATTTGTTAATTGACAGAAATTGCTTGTTTGGTAGACATAGCTAGGCCCGATTACTGGAAACAGATTAAGCTTCGTCCTGGACGAAAAAAAGCAGGATTAAATTAGAATATGTAGTTAACTTTGTCTGGGAAATCAGCAGGCTACTAGTTTCGTTCAACTACTAGCTAACGTTAGCTAGCTAATCAAACTGGCAATGATTGCCAGCTTGGGTCAAACTGTTTAACTAACGTTAGTTACCTAACATTGTCTGAATAACGTTAGTCACTTATTTCACCAGTCACTCATCTGATAACTATTCCTAGATAACCAGATAACATGATTCTCATGCTTTAAATATTCTTAATATGGCTGTTGGTTTAGCTCATTTGGTAATGGCTTACTGGGCCACGGGTGTTAGCTAGCTAGCAGCTAATGTTAGCCAACCAACCTGTTCTCACACAGTTGAGCTATCTCAGCCAGTCAGTTTCAGATATCTAACGTTAGACACATACCACTTACTTATAGTCGATCCTCAAAATATATTCATAACAGGGGAAATATTGATGCTTTAGATAGCTGGTTAAACACTCACCGTCAGACACAACTGCTGGCTTCAGGATAAGAGAACATCAGGAACTTGGAAGGTTTTCTTCCTTGGCTTCCCGGTGCAAACTCACACATCAAGCATTAACATGTTACCGCCATCTACTGGTCTGGATGATTCTTGGCGCGTTGACCGCAAATCATGCCATGCTGGAAGATAATTGGCTTAATCAGTGTACAAATGCCTCCCAGGCTTTGTCTTTTTCTATATGTGTTGTCTTTGGAAAGCAATCCAGCAAACAGATGTCATAGGTATTGCAATGTCTCCCCCTTGCGGTATCCATAAGATTGACACTCACCAACAACAGATAGAAAGCCCTTTGCTTTCAGAGCCAGAGTTCACGAGATCACTTATCTGTCACCTGGCGGCAGTGAACGCTTGGCCGCGATCCGAGGAGGTCGATGCAGCTCAGGTAGTGCCGCAAGTTTCGCTTCTTCAGTCGTGCATACTACCAGTTCATCCAAATATACTCACGTTAGGTAGGCTAGTCAAAGGCACGCAGTTTGAAGACGTTCTTCCTCTAAACCAGGGATTGGTAACTATGATGTGGTGGGGGCCACAAAAATATCGGAACTGCTGATGCACAACCAAATTTAGAAATTGCACCTTAAGTATTCTAACATAGTATTCTAACTCTCGACAGTAAGTTGAGACCCCGACTGAGTTCCCCAAAAAATATAATAATTTTAAAAATAACATTTGTCCAGAACGCTGCAGCTCGTCTGGTGTTCAACCTTCCCAAGTTCTCTCATGTCACCCCGCTCCTCCGCACACTCCACTGGCTTCCAGTTGAGGCTCACATCTACTACAAGACCATGGTGCTTGCCTACGGAGCTGTGAGGGGAACGGCACCTCCTTACCTTCAGGCTCTGATCAGACCCTACACCCAAACGAGGGCACCACGTTCATCCACCTCTGGCCTGCTAGCCCTCCTACCTCTACGGAAGCACAGTTCCCGCTCAGCCCAGTCAAAGCTATTCGCTGCTGTGGCACCCCAATGGTGGAACAAACTCCCCCACGACGCCAGGACAGCGGAGTCACTGACCACCTTCCGGAGACACTTGAAACCCTACCTCTTTAAGGAATACCTGGAATAGCCCCCCCCCCCATAAAAAAAAAAGTGGTTGGCCCACTGGCTATCATAAGTTGAATGCACCAATTTGTAAGTCGCTCTGGATAAGAGCGTCTGCTAAATGACGTAAATGTTTTTGGTAATTGATCCAGGCGCCTCCAAAAGAGGGGGCCTGCATGCCGACAGTTGCCCATCCTTGCTCTAAACTGAATCCTGAAGGCGGGGAAACACAGTTTATTAAAAACAGGTAGGCCTAGTCTGTGGGACCATACCAAAAACAACACACACTTATCCCTTGTTCAGTGTCATGCAACAATTGATACATTGCATTGCACATGATTAAAAATGTTCACCCAAATGATGAAAGTTCTGTTTTCCCTTCAATCTATGTCTATACCCTCTACCTTTATATCACTATACCTTTTAATTTACAGAGGTTTACTCACCATTTAATGGACCCTATTAGGCCAAGCATTTGGTATGACCCAATGACCTGCACCCCCCTCCCCCAATAATCATGGTAAACCCACTAACATAAATATTGTCCCTGAAATACAATTATATAGTTGAAAAACTAAATTTTGAATTACAAAACGTTACATTGACAAAAACTGCACTCAAAACAATTCCTACAGAGATATCAAACCTTCCTGTAACAAACATTAAGTATACTGAAGCATTAATCTCTTCATTCAACAAGTAATCTGAAGCCAAAATGTGAAAGCAATCTCTTTCATACAGAGTCTTCCAGTCTTGAAAAGACTGAAATGGGCAGACCCATTGTTATCAAGTAGACTATGCGGAGAGGAATAGTGGCCAAGTAACCCCCAGATGCAGTGGCGGCTCCTGAAAAAATTCTCAGGGGGGGCAATTTTTCTGATGATTTAGGTGACCTACACACATTTTAAAAAAGATATGTCCAGCAACAACATGAAGACAGGGGCAGCATATAAGTCAATACCAGAAGCATTTATTGACTGATCTCAAAAGTGTTGGCTTACCAGGGTTGGTGGAGCCCTCAGTTTCATCTTTGCCTCGCAAAGCTAACTCAAACACTCCGCAAAACTTCACACACTGGATTAGCCGGCTGAGGATGTGGCGGTTCTTGCTAATGTCGTAGTAAATATATTTGTTATAGTGAATATGGAATATGATATGTTGAGTAAAATGTTGTGCTAAGATCTATTTAGGTCAGGAGCTGGTTATAAGTTCTGTTCCTATCCAATAACAATGGACAAAAGGGTCCTATCTTGTCAGCCTTGTCAGTTTCAGTTCTCCAGTAAACTTGTGATTATCAACACTAACCTCATCGTTGTGGTGGCGGACAGCTAGCCTGTATCCCTCATCCAGTTGAGTGGGAATGTTCACTCTCCCCAAAGCAGACAATCTCAAACAGCTATCCATGTGGGTCTTTGACAGCTCATGTTTCTTAATCTTTCCTGAAAGATGGTGCATGTCCGTTACACACCAGTCGCTGTCCAAGCGGTGCTGTCTGCCGTGCCGCCTTCAGGGTGAAAGAGTAAGCAGGGGGTAGCAGAAGACTGCATTAGCTACATCGCAGCCTGCTAGCCAGGTTTTTCGTTCGTACCAATTTTTGGAAAATCCTCGGGTGTAGGACTTCCCCCCTTTAGTAGAAACCTGTTGAATTATTAAATTTGGTCTGGGAGGTCCTAATTGTTTCGTTGCCAATTTATCTTCATTTGTTCGCCGACAAAAAGGAACTTCTTTCAAAGACACAATCGAGTTGCACTGAAGCCTAGCCATTTTGATAGTAGTAGTGAATTGATTGACGCTCACGCTGCTACCCGCTTCTTTTCTTAGTTACGTTCATGGTTATGTTACGTATGACGAAAGCGCGTAAGTGCAAGCCCTCAGAAACCCATAGAGATTGTATTGAAAGCTCTGATATTTGAAAAAAATAGATTTTACATGGGAGTCTATGACAGACTTCTGGGCGATTTTCAACCTGACTGAAATCGCCCCAAAAGGGGGGGGGGGGGGCATTTGAAGCACGACTTTAGCCTGATTGGACATTTAGTGGCACTGTGGCAGATCAGACGTCTAGATTACAACACTGATAACTACTGTTGCCGTGATATAATTGATTAGAAAAAAAATCCCTTCCTTTTCCCGTTTGGCAGTGCGTCGCCCATATCGCCCTATTGAACACACCGCCCCTGCCCAGATGGAGAAAAAGTACTCTATTCGAACTGGTCTATAATGTAACTTAATTGTTGACAGAAAACAATCACTCTGTCTAAATTCATAATTCTACCTCGCTTTGCGCATCTTGCTCACAATAGCAGCTCTGTGATTGGTAAGGTTGTTTAAGACAAAGCTATTGCTTAGCATTTTCAGTTTGGAGTTCAGGGCTTCTTTACTTCTCTCCCAACAACACTCCCCATCTTCGTCTTCCTCCTCCCCCTCTTCCAGCTCACTCTCTTCATCACTGCGTTCATCTTTATCCAGCTAAAGACACAAAAATATACACATCATGAACACTCATGAAACGTGATGGGCTACTTGTTTCCTGGTCATTTTGTGACTGCATATACTCACCTTGCCCAAGAATAGAAACTTGTTGGCCATCCGTAGGATTAACAAGGCCCAGAAGACATGAAGTGCTTGTAGCACCATCAGAAGAATGTTGAAAAAGTAGTAGCCAGCGAAGGGTTCAAAGACTTCCATGGACAACACAAGGGTTGTGTGGATTATTCTAGAAATCAGGGCAGGGAGGGGAAGAGGAAGCAAGTAATGCAATGATTAGAGTCAATATATCCCAGTTGTAAACCATTATATTCTAAGACATTTTGTTAACTAAATTGTTGCTTGAACAAACATTGTTGTGTATTAGATGGCCAATAAAGTCGATTTGATACAATTAGGTAACCAATGAAAAGTAGTGTAGCATTCACTATCAATACTAATAAATTCACAATTGCACATAATCTTAATTGTATTATAATGTCATGAAAAAACATTTAGAACTAAGAGATACCACTGAGTTGGTCTTACTTGCTGGGAAACACCACCAGGCGAGTCACCAGGAAGACAGCAGCAAAAATGACAAATAACGTGTCGCACGTCTTCCTCCAGCCCGTGCCATAGTTGAACATCTTGGCAGACTGTAAAAACAGTAAGATATTCTAAGATGGATCCCTAATGCAAACAAATGCTAACATTGAAATATGTTTCTATTGGAATAAATTAGGTGATGAGGCTTTTATGTATGAATGTGCATAAAATTCATTACACACAGCTTTTGGTCTCTTTGGTATTCTCTCTCTATTGGTAATGAATGATAATTGACAGACTGGTTCACATTCCTGGCACTGCAGGTAAACCAAGGTCCCACTAATGTCTGACTATGAATAAGAAGCCCCGTTTATACCTGGTGCTAACATGGGTCCTTTGTCCTGATCTTGTCTATATTCTGATTGTGCCCACATTTCCAGAAATGTGTCTACACATGGAATTAAAATGTGTCTGTTATCCGTCCACTGTGTCTGCATTGTGAGCAGATTTCCTGGTCCCTTCCTTTATGCAAATGATTTCACAGCTATTCTTTCAAAATAATATTTATTTATTTATTGTAAGACACATATTGATGTAATCAGTCAATGGTGCCACCTGTTAATGATTTTAGAGGGTGGAATAATGATGGTTTAAATGGTTTCTCTGTCCAATATCAGGACAAAGGACACAAATTAGAACCAGGTATAAACAGGGCTAGAGAGTCATAAGACATGCCATGCTAATTTGACCATTATGTTCCTCATTGACCCTCAATGACAAAAATACATTTCACAAGCGAGACCAGTAGGGGAAAAAGAGAAGCATTTTATCCACACGTCGGACAAGCGCTAACCTGTTTAGGTGCAGTGCATTTCACCAGTCCTAAGTGAAATACATGATATTGAATATCTTAGGATATACAGACTGATGTTTATGAGGAGATTGGCTGGGCTGTGATCCAGCTCTTACCTCTAGGAGGAAGTCAGAGGAGTCGTGAAGCAGCATCACCAGAGTGCCTATCCGTACATAGTTGGAACAGTAGGAGAAACCAAGCAGGAAGATGGTGACAATGTGGTGAATCACCTGCTCCTTGAAATCCTGGAAATGAGAGAGCAAAGTTTTAAAGTCGAGTAATGTAATAGCTAATGGCAAAAGTATGACTTTATGTACTCTATATCCAAAAATGAAGAAACCTTTCTGGGGAATACCAAATCAAATCAAATCAAATTTTATTGGTCACATGCGCCGAATACAACAGGTGCAGACATTACAGTGAAATGCTTACTTACAGCCCTTAACCAACAGTGCATTTATTTTAAACAAAAAAAGTAAGAATAAAACAACAACAAAAAAAAGTGTTGAGAAAAAAAAGAGCAGAAGTAAAATAAAGTGACAGTAGGGAGGCTATATATACAGGGGGGTACCGTTGCAGAGTCAATGTGCGGGGGCACCGGCTAGTTGAGGTAGTTGAGGTAATATGTACATGTGGGTAGAGTTAAAGTGACTATGCATAAATACTTAACAGAGTAGCAGCAGCGTAAAAAGGATGGGGTGGGGGGCAGTGCAAATAGTCCGGGTAGCCATGATTAGCTGTTCAGGAGTCTTATGGCTTGGGGGTAGAAGCTGTTGAGAAGTCTTTTGGACCTAGACTTGGCACTCCGGTACCGCTTGCCGTGCGGTAGCAGAGAGAACAGTCTATGACTAGGGTGGCTGGAGTCTTTGACAATTTTGAGGGCCTTCCTCTGACACCGCCAAAAGCCAAAATACCAAAAGCTTTGCTTTAGAATACTATACCGTATTTGTTCAATACAGCTGGTAGAGCACGGCGCTTGTAACGCCAAGGTAGTGGGTTCGATCCCCGGGACCACCCATACACAAAAATTTATGCACGCATGACTGTAAGTCGCTTTGGATAAAAGCGTCTGCTAAATGGCATATTATTATTTTTATTATTATCTCAATGATTATTGAGGCCAGGGATTAAATCATTGAAAGACCATGTTGACCCTTTATTTCTCTGAGGAAGAAATGTGAGTTTTGAAATAGATTATCCATTCACCCAACAGGTCTTTGAGTCTATTATTAACCGGAATCCAAGTAACATGTCTAGTATCTTTAAATAGCGGAAAAGCCAGTAGAGCTGATCATGTATGAAATATGAGGGAGCGCAAATAATGTCGCACCCTGATCCTTGCTCTTCTCTATTAGTAAGTGTGATAAATGGGGACTGCTTATTATCATGGTCCTGGCAGGAAGTGAGGAGCAGGCAGATGAAGGGACTTACTTTCCTCTTGACGTCCACAGAGACACAGAGAAGAAGGGAGAGGTAGAAGCCCAGCTCCAGCTGGTAGTACCAGAAGTGGGCCCTCTCAATTGGCTGCAGAGGATAGGGAAATACACTGTTGACTATGATTGGGTATAACAAATGCACATCCACTGGCTATGTACCGGTGCTGAATATCAAGGAAAATATACATTTTCATCCGTAAAAAATAAGATTCACAACCTTAATAAGCACACTTGGGAATTATACAGTTAAAGTGTGCAGAATGTTATTTTTGCTGATGACAACGAGCCATTGTTTTGAGCTAAATGTTTTGAGCGGAATGTCTTTGTCCACCGCCAAATGAATGGGAAAATTAATGAGTGGGAATTCCAAACCAGAATGAACCATACTGTACATCCTCATACTTAGGTAGGGCCTTGTTCCATCACGACTCGGCACCTGGTTTTTGATTGTCAGAGATACAGTATGGACATGATCTAACAGAGAATAATTTCATTCTGTAGTTGGTCATATCATTGTTGGTATAAAGTATAGCCTATGTAATGTACACTAAAGGGACAAAAACAGTACAGAAATGTACAGTGCCTTCAGAAAGTATTCACACCCCTAAAACTTTTTCCACATTTTGTTGTTACAGCCTGAATTTAAAATGGATTGAGATTTTGTGTCACTGGCCTACACACAATACCTTATAATGTGAAAGTGGAATGATGGTTTTAGACATTTTTCTAATTAATAACAAATTGAAAGCTGAAATGTCTTGAATCAATAGCTGCTAGCAGGTACCTATAGACTTCCAGTCAAGCAGATACACAAAGACTTCAAGTCATTGCGCTAACGCTACAGTGGCTTGTGAAAGTATTCACCCCCTTGGCATTTTATTTTGTAGCCTTACAACCAGAATTAAAATAGATTTTTGGGGGGGTTGTATCATTTGATTTACACAACATGCCTACCACTTTGAAGATGCAAAATCATTTTTTTGTGAAACAAACAAGAAATAAGACAAAAAAACAGAAAAATTGAGCGTGCATAACTATTCACCCCCAAAGTCAATACTTTGTAGAGCTACCTTTTGCAGCAATTACAGCTGCAAGTCTCTTGGGGTATGTCTCTATAAGCTTGGTACATCTAGCCACTGGGATTTTTGCCCATTCTTCAAGGCAAAACTGCTCCAGCTCCTTCAAGTTGGATGGGTTCCGCTGGTGTACAGCAATCTTTAAGTCATACCACAGATTCTCAATTGGATTGAGGTGTGGGCTTTGACTAGGCCATTCCAAGACATTTAAATGTTTCCCCTTAGACCACTCAAGTGTTGCTTAAGGGTCATTGTCCTGCTGGAAGGTGAACCTCCGTCCCAGTCTCAAATCTCTGGAAGACTGAAACAGGTTTCCCTCAAGAATTTCCCTGTATTTAGCGCCATCTATCGTTCCTTCAATTCTGACCAGTTTCCCAGTCCCTGCTGATGAAAAACATGATGATGGTGTTCTCGGGGTGATGAGAGGTGTTGGGTTTGTGCCAGACATAGCGTTTTCCTTGATGGCCAAAAAGCTCAATTTTAGTCTCATCTGACCAGAGTATCTTCTTCCATATGTTTGGGGAGTCTCCCACATGCCTTTTGGCGAACACCAAACGTGTTTGCTTATTTTTTTCTTTAAGCAATGGCTTTTTTCTGGTCACTCTTCTGTAAAGCCCAGCTCTGTGGAGTGTACAGCTTAAAGTGGTCCTATGGACAGATACTCCAATCTCCGCTGTGGTGCTTTGCAGCTCCTTCAGGGTTATCTTTGGTGTCTTTGTTGCCTCTCTGATTAATGCCCTCCTTGCCTGGTCCGTGAGTTTTGGTGGGCAGCCCTCTCTTGGCAGGTTTGTTGTGGTGCCATATTCTTTCAATTTTTCTAATAATGGATTTAATGGTGCTCCGTGGGATGTTCAAAGTCGTGGTGTCCCTTGCTTAGTGGTGTTTCAGACTCTGGGGCCTTTCAGAACAGGTGTGTATATATACTGAGATCATGTGACACTTAGATTGCACACAGGTGGACTTTACTTAACTAATTATGTGATTTCTGAAGGTAATTGGTTGCACCAGATCTTATTTAGGGGCTTCATAGCAAAGGGGGTGAATACATATGCACGCACCACTTTTCCGTTATTTATTTTTATAGTTTTTGAAACAAGTAATTTTTTTCATTTCACTTCACCAATTTGGACTATTTTGTGTATGTCCATTACATGAAATTTAAATAGAAATCCATTTAAATTACAGGTTGTAATGCAACAAAATAGGAAAAACGCCAAGGAGGATGAATACTTTTGCAAGGCAATGTAGTTAGTATTGGTTCGCGAAACTACCTCTAACTTCCTTCATACTGGACACAAAGACATAAAAATTGTATCCACAAGTTCATCTGACTCTGGGGAAGTAGAAGTAACCTTTTAACAAGTCACATAATAAGTTGCATGGACTCACTCTGTGTGCAATAATAGTGTTTAACATGATTTTTTTATGAGTACCTCATCTCTGTACCCCACACATACAGTTATATGTAAGGTCCCTCAGTCAAGCAGTGAATTTCAAACACAGATTCAACCACAAACACCAGGGAGGTTTTCCAATGCCTCTTAAAGAGGGGCAACTATTGGTAGATGGGTAAAAATAAAAAAGCAGACATTGAATATCCCTTTGAGTATGGTGAAGTTATTAATTACACTTTGGATGGTGTATCAATACACCCAGTCACTCCAAAGATACAGTCGTCCTTCCTAACTCAGTTGCCGGAGAGGAAGGAAACCGCTCAGGGATTTCACCATGAGGACAGGTGACTTTAAAACAGTTACAGAGTTTAATGGCTGTGATAGGAGAAAACTGAGGATGGATCAACAACATTGTAGTTACTCCACAATACTAACCTAAATGACAGAGTGAAAAGAAGGAAGCCTGTATAGAATACAAATATTCCAAAACATGCAATAAGGCACTAAAGTAAAACTGCAACAAAATAACTTTATGTCCTGAATAAAACCGTTACATTTGGCGCAAATCCAACACAACACATCACTGAGTACCACTCCTCAAATTTTCAAGCATGGTGGTGGCTGCATCATGTTATGTGTATGCTTTTCTTTGGCAAGGACTAGAGACATTTTTAGGATAAAATCCTAGAGGAAAACCTGTTTCAGTCTGATTTCCAACAGACACTGGGAGACAAATTCACCTTTCAGCAGGACAATCACCTAAAATACAAGGCCAAATATACACTGGAGTTGCTTACCAAGACGACATTGAATGTTCCTGAGTGGCCTAGATACAATTTTCAATTAAATCGGCTTGAAAATCTATGGCAAGACTTGAAAATGGCTGTCTAGCGATCAACAACCAACTTGACAGAGCTTGAAGAATCTTTAAAAGAATAATGGGACTTACCCAAAAAGACTCACAGCTGTAATCGCTGCCAAAGGTGATTCCAATATGTATTGACTCAGGGGGTTGGATACTTATCTATAATAGTGTTTTCTTTTTTATATATATAGTTTTTACTATACTATATATTTTTCTTCCACTTTGACATTACAGAGTATTTTGTGTAGATCATTAACAAAAAATGACTATTAAAGCCATTTTAATCCCACTTTGTAACACAACAAAATGTGGAAAAAGTTAAGGGGTGTGAATACTTTCTGAAGGCACCGTAAATATTAGTGCTCTGTAAGTTAAAAGGTATAGGGGTATAAAGGTAGAGGGTATAGACATAGATTGAAGGGAAAACAGAACATGTGAGCTTACTTGTTGTGGATAACCTGTCCAGCATTCTCTCTGGTCCCAAAACCAGGATCTCTAAAGGGAAAGGAGGTTGGAATAAACAAGTTTCTCATGCAGATGAAGCCAATGTGACCTGAACAGACCTGGGTTCAAAAACTATTTACGTTATTTAAATTACTTTGAAAGACATTTGGAAGTACAGTACCAGTCAAAAGGGTTCTTCTTTATTTTTTTACTATTTTCTACATTGTAGAATAATAGTGAAGACATCAAAACTATGAAATAACACATATGTAATCATTTAGTAACCTAAAAAGTATTTTGAATTCAAGCCACACTTAACCAGCATGGCTACCACAGCATTCTGCAGCGACACGCCATCCCATCTGGTTTGGGCTTAGTGGGACTATCATTTGTTTTTCAACAGGACAATGACCCAACACACCTCCAGGCTGTGTAAGGGCTATTTTACCAAGAAGGAGAGTGATGGAGTGCTGCATCAGATGACCTGGCCTCCACAATCACCCGACAACCCAATTGAGATGGTTTGGGATGAGTTGGACCACAGAGTGAAGGAAAAGCAGCCAACAAGTGCTCAGTGTATGTGGGAACTCCTTCAAGAATGTTGGAATAGCATTCCAGGTGAAGCTGGTTGAGGGAATGCCAAGAGTGTGCAAAGCTGTCATCAAGGCAAAGGGTGGCTACTTTGAAGAATCTCAAATTTAAAATATATTTAGATTTGTTTAACACTTTTTTGGTTACTACATGATTCCATATGTGTTATTTCATAGTTTTGATGTCTTCACTATTATTCTACAATGTAGAAAATAGTAAAAATAAAGACAAACCATGGAATGAGTAGGTATGTCCAAACCTTTGACTGGTACTGTAAGTATTTTGATATTTATTTTATTTGAAAACACAAGTTATATATTTGTTTTATTTAAAAAAATCAATCTTTAACTCTGCATTGTTGGAAAAGGATCCGTAAGTAAGCATTCACTGTTAGCCTACACCTGTTGTTTGTGACAAAGAGACGACTCTGGGATGCTGACCTTCTAGGCAGAGTTGCAAAGAAAAGCCATATATCAGACTGCCCATCTTAATCTTTTCTTTTTATTGGCCAGTCTGAGATATGGCTTTTTCTTTTCACCTCTGCCTAGAAGGTCAGCATCCCGGAGTCGCCTCTTCACTGTTGACATTGAGACTGGTGTTTTGCGGGTACTATATAGTGAAGCTGCCAGATGAGGACCTGTTTCTCAAACTAGACACTCTAATGTATTTGTCCTCTTGCTCAGTTGTGCACCGGGGCCTCCCACTCCTCTTTCTATTCTGGTTAGAGCCAGTTTGCGCTGTTCTGTAAAGGGAGTAGTACACGGCGTTGTACGAGATCTTCAGTTTCTTGGCAATTTCTCGCATGGAATAGCCTTCATTTCTCAGAACAAGAATAGACTGACGAGTTTCAGAAGAAAGTTATTTGTTTCTGGCCCATTTTGAGCCTGTAATCGAACCCACAATTGCTGATGCTCCAGATACTCAACTAGTCTCAAGAAGGCCAGTTTTATTGCTTCTTTAATCAGCACAACAGTTTTCAGCTGTGCTAACATAATTGCAAAAGGGTTTTCTAATGATCAATTAGCCTTTTAAAATGATAAACTTGGATTAGCAAACACAACGTGCCATTGGAACACAGGACTGATGGTTGCTGATAATGGGCCTCTGTTCACCTATGTAGATATTCCATAAAAAATCAGCCGTTTCCAGCTACAATAGCCATTTACAACATTAACAATGTCTACACTGTATTTCTGATCAATTTGATGTTATTTTAATGGACACTCGAAAACAAGGACATTTCTAAGTGACCCCAAACTTTTGAATGGTAATGTATTTGGAAATAAACTTGCAAAGTAATGGCAGTTATTGAAAATACTCAAATACACATTATTTATACAAATATTAATATACTCCCATGCATTTGAACCAGGTCTGCTTGGTATTTAAATATTATATTTGGAATTAAGTATTTGAAAATACTTTCAAATAGTTGGCAGTTTATTTGAAAGTAATTGAAAATACTTTCAAATACTTCCAATAGAAGTAGTTGATTCGGGCCACATTATTTGAAAATACTCAAATACAAATACATAAGTACATAAATAACACATAATCAAATACACATGTATTTGAACCCAGGTCTGTAGGGTTGTGGTTCATACTAATACTCACATCGATCAAAGTTGTGAGTCCAGCTAGGAACGCTATGAGGTAGAAGAAAAACCTCCAACTGCAAAATGACACAGGTTTTAGTTACAATTTAAAGGGCAATTCCATCACTTTTCAACCTCATATTCATTATCTCCAGCACCAAACCAGTGTCTACATATGTGAAAACAGCGCGTTTCTATGATCTGTGGTTAAAAAGATAAGAAGAAAGGCCCTTCTCTGTGACATCACAGGGTAGGATTAAAAGTAATAAAACAGTGATTTAAAAAAATATCAGGTAGAGCTTTTTAACTTCATATTTTTTTCCACAAAACATAGAAATGTGACGTTTTCTCATATGTAGACACTGGTATTGTGCTGGAAATAATGAAAATTATATTGAAAAGTGGTGGAATTGCCCTTTAAGGTCTTACAACTAGAACTGCATTAGCAACGTGAAAATGGAATGACATCAAATATCATTGAATTTCACAGTCCTTTTCCTGGTGACCAGGGCGTCATTGTAAATAAACAAGAATCTGTTCTTAACTGACTGGTTAAATGAAGGTTAAATTAAATAATCAAACAAATTTGGTCATACAAGTGAATGAAGCTAAACGAAAGGGCAAAAACCCTTTGCTTGGTAAAGAAAGGACTTGCCAAGCCTCGCAGAACCTCTTGGTGTAGCTGGGCCTGTCTTGGTTTCTTCGGTGACGAAACCAGGTCTCAATTTGTCTCTGGGTTTTGTCACATTGTGCCATTAGACTGATGATATCACTCTAAATATGAAGGTATATAGAAAGAACATTATTACAGCTGTAAATATAATACTACAGCTCCCACTAAAAGTCATTATTTATTTGTCCAATATGGCCAAACCTATTTGTAATCTGTTACTATTCACAGTAATTTTATTCTGTGGTTATGCACCTGTATCAACATTTTCCAGGAACTCGTAGACCAGGATGCTTGTACATGATCTGTTTCCCTATCATAGCAATCATATCCCCGTCACCCTTCCATTCCCACAGTGCAAACACTTCCAGCAGCTATGTTGATGTAAGAGATAAAGACTGGCATATACCATTATCAGAGTTTGATGTCTCTGACACTAACCTGAGATGGTTGTCGGTTTTGTTGGGTGTAGAAGGACTCAAGCTTTGTGGAGGGAGCGACAGCCATGCACAATCTGTTCTTCAACCCCACACATCTGCCCAAGGGGGGAGCCACAACCCTAGGGGTGAGGAAACCATAAGCGCAAATGTTGATCTTCACAGCAAGAGGTGTAGTATTACTAATGGCAATATGAAAATAGGCGTGTTTCTATAGTTCTTTGATAATCTATACATTGTGTGTGTGTGTGTGTGTGTGTGTGTGTGTGTGTGTGTGTGTGTGCGTGCGTGCGTGTGCTCACAGCATGTCTGTACTATACAGAATATCTGTGCTTGTCTTTTATTATTGTTATTATTATTATGTGTATGCTGTACATACGACTAATAAAACTTTAACTTGAAACTTGTCTATGTGTTGCTGTAACAACCTCTTTAAGCCATTTAGTAGGTCGGAGAAAACGTACGGGGATCAGTCTGGTTACCGTAGGAAACGGCTTCTGTAGCAACAGAGCCCACCCTCTCTCCACTCTACCTGCTGCTGCTCTCTCTTTCAGCAAAGTGCTGACACCTCCTCTCTCTATTATTCCCAACTGGCCTGCGCTACCGCCAACAATACCCGCCAAAGCACCTGCAGGCATACAGGGCAGGTCAACCAACAATACAGCTTCCTCCAATGGGGATTTAATTTCACTGCTACTGCTTGTTGTCGGGTGATGGTGCATGACAAGACTTAATCAAGAATTCAATCAAATCCGTGCTGCGTAACAGTCACACTGCGGAGGAATCATGCTATTCTTCAACTATAAAAATACTTGATGCCATTAATCAAACATTTTCACCCTTTCACTTAATTTCAGTGAAAGGGTGCAGTTTCACATATCCGTACAATCAGATTGTTCCATTGTGTGAGTTGAATCTTCCCCCTTTTAACTGTCACTGATTCATATTTCAGACACACATTCTTGTTGCTTACTGGCCAAAATATTGTTGCAAACCAAGATCGTATCCAAGATGTAGTCCATACAGTAGTTCCAAAAAGGTTACCTGTCAAATACTAGACGGAGGACAATGAACCCTAAAGCCAGAGGCAAGGCGAACAGCAGATCACGGGGACGCGGATACTCCTCCATCTGCTCCATGTCTCTCCAGGTGATCCCAGGAGGCAGCCAGTACTCATGCCTCCACAGATCTGGCAAGAGGTCCATGCTGGATGAAGGCGTGAAGAGGGATAAGTGGCTTAATGATATATCATTGATTTGAGTTGAATTTGTGAATCATGGATGTCAGTCTGACAGTGTGACTATGCTATGAATGTTTTGTGTCATCTTCAAGAGAATGTTGACATAGCAGGTAATATGTGTAGTAGCAGCAATACAGGTGGTTCGTTCCACGAAATGAGTCCCTTTTGATATTTTAAGTAGAAATTGTACACCAGTAATGAATTTTAATAGCCTGTTATATTAAATGAAGTGCCCTTTAATATAGATCACATGGAAAATGCAATAAATCTGATATTTTATATGAATAAAGACTTGCTTAAGTGCCAAGATTCAGCTTTTTGAATCCTAGGAAGATTTTTATCCACTTAACCTCAAAATGTCTCCATGTTTTTGCCATCATTGTAAAGCCCTAGTTATTTTGTTGCTTTGACAAAGTAATTTCTGAAGATTATTATTTATTACATGTGATTAGTGATTCAATTATTATTTAGTTCATGTGATTAGTGATTCAATTGCCCCTCCCTGTTGCACACAACAAGCTTCCATTCCCCCTGTCACAAGGGGATTTATGGCTGATTTAAGATGAAATCATCAACCCTGTTACTTTAATTGGCACCTAATAGATACAGTTGAAGTCGGAAGTTTACATACACTTAGGTTGGAGTCATAAAAACTCGTTTTTCAACCACTCCACAAATTTCTTGTTAAGAAACTATAGTTTTGGCAAGTTGGTTAGGATATCTACTTTGTGCATGACACAAGTAATTTTTCCAACAATTGTTTACAGACAGATTATTTCACTTATAATTCACTGTATAACAATTCCAGTGGGTGAGAAGTTTACATACACTAAATTGACTGTGCCTTTAAACAGCTTGGAAAATTCCAGAAAATTATGTCATGGCTTTAGAAGCTTCTGATAGGCTAATTGACATCCTTTGAGTCAATTGGAGGTGTACCTGTGGATGTATTTCAAGGCATACCTTCAAACTCAGTGCCTCTTTGCTTGACATCATGGGAAAATCAAAAGAAATCAGCCAAGACCTCAGAAAAAAAATTGTAGACCTCCACAAGTCTGGTTCATCCTTGGGAGCAATTTCCAAACAACTGAAGGTCCCACGTTCATCTGTACAATTAATAGTACGCAAGTATAAACACCATGGGACCACGCAGCCGTCATACTGCACAGGAAGGAGACGCGTTCTGTCTCCTAGAGATGAACGTACTTTGGTGCGAAAAGTGCAAATCAATCCCAGAACAACAGCAAAGGACCTTGTGAAGATGCTGGAGGAAACAGGTACAAAAGTATCTATATCCACAGCAAAACGAGTCCTATATCAACATAACCTGAAAGGCCGCTCAGCAAGGAAGAAGCCACTGCTCCAAAACCCCCATAAAAAAGCCAGACTACGGTTTGCAACTGCACATGGGGACAAAGACCGTACTTTTTGGAGAAATGTCCTCTGGTCTGATGAAACAAAATTAGAACTGTTTGGCCATAATGACCATCCATTATGTTTGGAGGAAAAAGGGGGTACTTGCAAGCCGAAGAACACCATCCCAACCGTGAAGCATGGGGGTGGCAGCATCATGCTGTGGGTGTGCTTTGCTGCAGGAGGGCCTGGTGCACTTCACAAGGAAGGAATCATGAGGAAGGAAAATGATGTGGATATATTGAAGCAACATCTCAAGACATCAGTCAGGAAGTTAAAGCTTGGTCGCAAATGGGTCTTCCAAATGGACAATGACCCCAAGCATACTTCCAAAGTTGTGGCAAAATGGCTTAAGGACAACAAAGTCAAGGTATTGGAGTGGCCATCACAAAGCCCTGACCTCAATCCTATAGAAAATGTGTGGGCAGAACTGAAAAAGCGTGTGCGAGCAAGGAGGCCTGCAAACCTGACTCAGTTACACCAGCTCTGTCAGGAGGAATGGGCCAAAATTCACCCAACTTATTGTGGGAAGCTTGTGGAAGGCTACCCGAAACGTTTGACCCAAGTTAAACAATTTAAAGGCAACGCTACCAAATACTAATTGAATGTATGTAAACTTCTGACCCACTGGGAATGTGATGAAAGAAATAAAAGCTGAAATAAATCATTCTCTCTACTATTATTCTGACATTTCACATTCTTAAAATAAAGTGGTGATCCCAACTGACCTAAGACAGGGAATTTTTACTAGGATTAAATGTCAGGAATTGTGAAAAACTGAGTTTAAATGTATTTGGCTAAGGTGTATGTAAACTTCTGACTTCAACTGTACTTACCTAATAGGAAAATGTATTTTACTAAGCTTAACATGTGCTCTTCATCACAGAATGTTCAAATTAGGTGAAATCAAACGTTTTTTTTACCAAGTTACACTACCCAAAATTGACTAATTTCGTGGAGCAACCCAGGTAATAAGTGTCTGTTTTGCAGGCGTCTTTGATTTAAAGGGGCAGTGCAGTTAAAAACGTGATTTTCCCCAAAACATTATCAGAGTGGCTGTGGTTCTGGATTTTCGGGAACCCAGAAGTTTTGGACTAAAGATAAAGAGATTTCTGTGCATGCGCACGATCCTCTGGTATGCTTCCCCCTCCGAGTCCTTTCAGCTGCTGCTCAGTGCTCCCTCACCCCGTGATTCCGCTGCCACTTGTTCGAACAAACGTAGTTCTTTGTCTGTTGTAACAGTAGCCAAAGCAAACATAACCGTGACACAACAGGCAGTCTAGCGATTTCATGTTATTTTTTCAGGAGTGGAGTTAGCCTACATGCAGCTATTTAGGCAAGCAATACAATGAGCATAACAAACATTAGGAACACCTTCCTAATATTGAGTTGCCTCAGCCTCAATTCGTTGGGGCATGGACTCTACAAGGTGTCGAAAGCATTCAACAGGGATGCTGGCCCATGTTGACTCCAATGCTTCCCACAGTTGTGTCAAGTTGGCTAGATGTCCTTTGGGTGGTGGACCATTCTTGATACACAGAGGAAACTGTTGTGTGAAAAACCCAGCAGCGTTGCAGTTCTTGACACAAACCGGTGCGCCTGGCACCTACTACCATACCCCGTTCAAAGGCACTTAAATGTTTTGTCTTGCCCATTCACCCTCTGAATGGCACACATACACAATCCATGTCTCAATTGTGTCAAGGCTTAAAAATCCTTCTTTAACCTGTCTCCTCCCCTTCATCTACACTGATTGAAGTGGATTTAACAAGTGACATCAATAAGGGATCATAGCTTTTACCTGGATTCACCTGGTCAGTCGATGTCATGGAGCAGGTGTTCTTAATGTTTTGTATACTCAGTGTATGTACACAGCATATCAACAAGCAAGACAGGCAGCCAATAGCGATTTAATGTGCAAACATTGGCTATTGGGAAGCAGAGTTCCTTTTTCAGCAACTCTGGCTATATGGCAGCCACAGGAGGTTGGTGGCACCTTAATTGGGGAGGACGGGCTCGTGGTAATATCTGGAGCGGAGTCAGTGGAATGGTATCAAATATATCAAACACATGGTTTGATGCCATTCCATTTACTCCATTCCAACCATTATTATGAGCTGTCCTCCCCTCAGCAGCCTCCACTGATTGCAGCATAACTATAAAGATTACATCATCACACAAAATGCTGGTAGTTTTGTCCCAATGCAATGTGTAGACTGTGTCATGCTTGTGCTACAGCAATATCTGTTACAACAGACAGATAATCATCATATACACTGCTCAAAAAAATAAAGGGAACACTTAAACAACACAATGTAACTCCAAGTCAATCAGACTTCTGTGAAATCAAACTGTCCACTTAGGAAGCAACACTGATTGACAATAAATTTCACATGCTGTTGCGCAAATGGAATAGACAACAGGTGGAAATTATAGGCAATTAGCAAGACACCCCCCAATAAAGGACTGGTTTTGCAGGTGGTGACCACAGACCACTTCTCAGTTCCTATGCTTCCTGGCTGATGTTTTGGTCACTTTTGAATGCTGGCGGTGCTTTCACTCTAGTGGTAGCATGAGACGGAGTCTACAACTCACACAAGTGGCTCAGGTAGTGCGGCTCATCCAGGATGGCACATCAATGCGAGCTGTGGCAAGAAGGTTTGCTGTGTCTGTCAGCGTAGTGTCCAGAGCATGGAGGCGCTACCAGGAGACAGGTCAGTACATCAGGAGACGTGGAGGAGGCCGTAGGAGGGCAACAACCCAGCAGCAGGACTGCTACCTCCGCCTTTGTGCAAGGAGGAGCAGGAGGAGCACTGCCAGAGCCCTGCAAAATGACCTCCAGCAGGCCACAATGTGCATGTGTCTGCTCAAACGGTCAGAAACAGACTCCATGAGGGTGGTATGAGGGCCGACGTCCACAGGTGGGGGTTGTGCTTACAGCCCAACACCGTGCAGGACGTTTGGCATTTGCCAGAGAACACCAAGATTGGCGCCCTGTGCTCTTCACAGATGAAAGCAGGTTCACACTGAGCACATGTGACAGACGTGACAGAGTCTGTAGACGCCGTGGAGAACGTTCTGCTGCCTGCAACATCCTCCAGCATGACCGGTTTGGCGGTGGGTCAGTCATGGTGTGGGGTGGCATTTCTTTGGGGGGCCGCACAGCCCTCCATGTGCTCGCCAGAGGTAGCCTGACTGCCATTAGGTACCGAGATGAGATCCTCAGACCCCTTGTGAGACCATATGCTGGTGCGGTTGGCCCTGGGTTCCTCCTAATGCAAGACAATGCTAGACCTCATGTGGCTGGAGTGTGTCAGCAGTTCCTGCAAGAGGAAGGCATTGATGCTATGGACTGGCCCGCCCGTTCCCCAGACCTGAATCCAATTGAGCACATCTGGGACATCATGTCTCGCTCCATCCACCAACGCCACGTTGCACCACAGACTGTCCAGGAGTTGGCGGATGCTTTAGTCCAGGTCTGGGAGGAGATCGCTCAGGAGACCATCCACCACCTCATCAGGAGCATGCCCAGGCATTGTAGGGAGGTCATAC